CCGGATGCAACATGTGACCCTCTTATTAATCTCACTGGTCCAAGAAAAAGATTACTATAATACTAATATACTAGATACCCGATAGTTTTGGACCAATGTCCAACACTATGGTACTGAGGAGAAAGGTGGCGATTGTTGTTTTAGTTGAAATCATCAAACAGAGCAGAGTGACCTGGTCAGCATGACCCTGTGGCAGCTCTCAATACAGTGAGTGAACAGGCTGAATGTGTCAACACCATTTCAGCCATGTCAATCAACAAACAAACACTACACGGTCTGATACCTGTGACTTACTTTATACTTACGCAAACTGAGTATATATAATATGATGCCACATTAACTCAGGATTTATCATAAATTGACCATTTGATATGTTGGATGGCATCATATAAATTGGAACACTTGAAATCCTGAAATTAATGCAAGCATGAAATGTATGGAGAACATCTGACCCACTGGCTTGCAATAAAAAGTGACATTTTTATCTGGATGCACTGAAGTACATTATCATTTCAGGTTCCCTACACAATGGCGGTAACAATGACACATATGTAATAATCTTATATGATAAGCATCATTTGAAATTTCCGGCTTTTGATGTCATGGAAGTTTTGATTTCTAGACAAGATGCTGAGTTTTAGTTTGTGAAGTTAGTAAATGATAATTGAATGTTTATCATGATTATCACTCCTTACAATATCACAAAATTCTTAGTCTACAGTCTCATCACTTCCTGAAAACTTTTTATGGGTCAAAGGCAAGGCTCGTCACATGAATGTCATTATGCATTTTAGGCCAGGGGTCAACATTTGGATTAATATGGTAAAACAATTATTTTCACGAGTTACATTACATGGTTTTCAAACATGATCAAATACAATATGTAACGATACCCATTATCATCAGCTGCTCAACAAATTTCCATTTCATCTGTCACAAACTTAAGGAAATACTATGACTATTCAGGACCAACAAATAAAATAAAATATCACATTGGTTGCACTGGATAGTATAAAATAAGCAATGTCATAATGTATATTATATTTACCAAAATCAGCTCGAGTCAGTAGCCTGACGTCCGGGTCAAGCAATTACCGTGTTCAGACTAATGCATGTTGTAAGCTCACTATGACAACGATGAAATGTACTGAAAATGTTGCTAAGAGACATGTTCAACCTTGAAATTCAAACATTTTGACAAACTGTGAAAGAAACATCACAGCTGACAAAACGATTCAATGGCATGAAAACTTACACTATTAATTTAAGTACAGTTTCAGTGACAGGGTGTGAAGAAAGACCACATAATTGACAATTTGATTGAAACAATGCAAATGGTGTGAAAATGATATATCCATTATTCTATGAACTGTGATGGTGAAAAACTGAAAGGAAGAACACAGATGACCATTCAATTCAAAGGTGTGCACAATTACATAATTTATTGATCTATGGATGGACCCAGTGATAATACTCTCAGACTAAGTGATCATATTGGTAATAGCTTTATGTAATACACTATATGGGTCATTAAACTGAGGGTGAAAATGTGTGTCAATTGGATCTGGATGGGCCATGCAAAAGCTGTACAATAATTAATGTTATTACACAAACCCCCAAACCATTACAGTACTTTTGGGCTGAAAAGATTCACTAATGCAATACAATATTTTAGTTAGATACACAATATGTCACAATATTATATTTGTAACCCTTCATTCATTGGCAGGTAGTTTCCAATCTGGAAATATTGGATATTTTGGCTGAATACAAGAGCTGTATACTGTAATAGTGAAAACACAATTGGTGCCGTCAGAGACATTTGAAATGTACATGCTGTGATCAAGTTTATTTTCAATGTATGAAGTTATTATACAATTGGTTTCTCAATCATGTTAACATGGTATGTGACATTACATCAAACCAAATACTAACCAAATACTTGTCCTGGCAAGCAGCAATAGTGTGATTTGGTAGCAATGGTCAAGAGGATTATTTCAGTCTCAGTGCACATCAAGTTACCGGTAAGCATTTTAACTTCATTTTAGTTAAATGCAAGCAGAACCTATTGGTTGATCTTAAATACTTCCCATTTACGATAATTGATGCATCAAAATAATCAAAGGCAGTATTGCAACCACAGTACAAAAATAACAAGTTTCCTAGCCCAAGAGTGGGAAAATACAGGACTTATGACTTGTGGACAACCACTGTGTTACCATTCCACAAATTACAACTCTGTAGAATATAACTATACCTTACAAGATAAAGATAAATAAAAAATTAAGGCTGATACGGCAAGTTCTACCTTTAAAAATTTGTTATCTAGCCAAGAAATACAACAATGACCAACAGATTTAGAGACTGGTTGAAGTATACCTTCCTACACACACATTAGTTCATTAGTTGCAAACTTAAAACTGAAGGTAGTATTCCTTGCAAATCCCATCTTCCAAAAGAAGTAATGGATGGAGTTGATTCTAATAATGCTACAGTGTTTGGCACGTAGCTGTTAAGATATTTTGCATCAAGACCAAAGAAAGAATGTACCGACTTTTCAGAATATTCAGTAGCCAAGCACTAAGATCTGCATGCAATACCTTCACAAATTTAATTTCCTTCAAACCTTTGCCAACCAACATTGAGAGCAAATTTGGTTCTACTTTATGCTTCTTCCATAAGTAGATAAATAGAGGGGAATTGCTGTAAAATTAACTGAAAGAAGTAAGTGAATGCTTAAACACCTCAGTCAGCAATATTTGAGTGACACCATCGTAGCATCTGGACCCCAACAAAAAAGTGGTTAATATTGTGAGCAACCCCATGCTGTTGAGGTACAATGAAGAACATTAATTCAACCTACCTAGTCACATCTGATCACCTGATTTCACTTAAAAGTTATACCACATGCTCAGGAACCTAACAGAGTACTGCAACACTCAGTTTGGAGTAAATGTGTGCACTACAGTCTACAATTCATGTGGAGAAACTAGTTTTAATACTCAAGTAGTAGTTATACATTTGATGAATGCTAACTAGACAAATTCTCATGATAATTTGTGACTGAACTGTGTTTTGACATTATGTGAGTTTGGTTCTGTGACTGTCATTTTAGTGTGCTCGGTTGTGTAACAATAAGGCATTTACCCCAACTTCTTCAAACCAAAGAGTGTTAGGCCCATTTCTGGTGTCCCCCCCTTTACCAGAGAGATTTTAAAAGCGGTAAAACATTGCTCAAACCAAAGATTGCCTTTAGCAGAGAGATTTTACATTGCTAACTTGACTGCCTGATGATGCTAATTGCCATGATAGTACTAATACTTATCTACCCGTGAAGATCTGGGTTAGAATTGGGCTTCAGTAACCCATGATTGTCGTAAGAGGCGACTAACAGGCTTGCTGACTTGGTTGACACATACCATCGTATCCCAATTGCGAAGATTGATGAGCATGATGTTGATCACTGGATTGTCTAGTCCAGAATTGATTATTTAAAGAACGCAATCGTGTAGCTGGAATATTGCCGAGTACGGTATTAAACAAACCAACCAACCAACCAATAATGATCTGTTCACTTAACTGTTCACACACACACATCGTCCTTGCTAAAAATTGAGTCCAGTAGTGCATACATTCAATTGAAACAATGAGAGTTTATGTTAGCTCTAGGAGAGATATCCTGTGTCAACTATTACTTACATTATCCTGCCTAAGAACTGAAGTGATCACTCTTGTACCAAGTCTTCATGTGATGTTAAAGAATTTGTTGACTTCTGTCATCAGTCATTGTACACAATTGGTTTCATATCAACTGACTGCCATGTGTGTACTAAGTCTCTTGAGAATTTTAGGGTTTTTTTTACCCAACTTCGCAGATAATTAATTCCAATCATAATGATGACTTTTGCAAATGATTTTGTTGTTTAGAATGGCAATCGACTGCGACCTGACTCTTGTACTTATACTTTAGTGTCAGAAAGCTATATAACTGAATTTCAATTATCATGATCATGTAATTGTGAAACAGGAGTATCTAGTATTGAGAAAACCAAACACCTAATATGAATACATAATTACCACAGGTGTGACGATAAAGAAATTTCACGATACGATACGTATCGCGATACCTTGGAACGATTCGATGCATATCATGATATGCTATCTTTAGTTATTTTCTTTCAAAAAGCATACTTTGATAGCAAGTAACAGTGTAAATTTGGACATAACCGTCAATTTCTGGTGAAAATTAACAATTTTAAGGTCAACGATACATATCACGATACGAAAAATAGTATCGATATATCTATCGTTAGATAAAGTATCAGGATTATCGATACTATGATATATCGTCACAGCTCTAATAATTACAATTGTAAAATACATCTGACAATAAGTGTGTGTAGGCCTATAAGGTATACTCTCATAATGTTGTAAGTAGTGTCAATGTGTTTGCAACCTTTCAGACTCTGAATGTTGTAAGTAACTTTATGTCTGACAGTATGACCAGCGACTAGGAGTAGGTATAAGTCTAGTGTCAGTTAAGGTCACACCCTATCGTTTGGTATCTACACACTGAAAAATATAAGTAACATGCTTAATTTCCTTCACACTGTTCTTGAAGGACAACATCACAGAGTTTTAGGGGAGATGATCAAATGGTGCATGAACTGGTCTGCAATATATTGACGTCAAGTATGAGCATGCCACGGTTCATTCGTTGCACGAGTATATCACAGATGCATGTGCACTGAAACACGGATGTCAAGATTTCTTTGAGGTAAATGATTACTTCTGACCTGTATCATACATAATTCCCAAACTCTTAACCCTATGCCACAGCACGAGTTTTGAAGAATGAAATGTACATTTGTACCTTGCGTTGAGACACAACGAGTACTTGTTTGTCAAACACTGGGACTTCCAAATATGGACACGGATAAAATAATCGATCTTGTACAAGAAAACACAATGATGGAACTAAAAGACAACACAATTATTACCTCAGCTTCCCCATTTTCACCCAATGAAATATGTGAACCTTGTGGGGTGTTATTTGAGACGTTGGAACTTGCATTAGACTTGGTGACAGTATTATTCTTGCTTCTCCTTCGTTTTGCCTTTTTGTTATCCACAGCACTCATGTTGACTTGCAGAGAGAATAATAAGTTTCCAGCGTGTATAAAATTCCTGCGTTGTGCAGAGGATAGACGCTAGTTACGGATTAAAACACTAGCTGTCAATCCAGAAATTGCCATCCCTAATAAATATGGCGGACACTTGCCTTGTTCTGTACCCACAATGCCCTGTTGGTAAGGCACTTGTCAAGGGGGAAGTAATCGCTTAATCACGTTTTATTTATCGCGAAGTCTACCGATTAGAGAATGTAGGTTCGATTCTCGACAGGCGTCTTTAGCGCTGAACGTTTTTGCCTGTTTTACTTATATATAGATTAATGTTGATATGCAAGGTGCATCTTCTCAGTTGGAAAAGACCATTTTCCCTTTCTTGATATAAGTGGCTTATACATTATGGAACAGTATTTCTTTCTCTGTGCATACACAATGTTGCATTTGTTTATTTGTTTCAAATATTCCGGCCGGGTAAAATGGAAATATATCCATATTTGACGATGGCTCAAAATGAAAGAATCACAAAAAAGGTTTTTCGATGGTGATGTTTCGTATATCATAGTTGTGCTTTGCAGTGTTTCGTGTACTTGTTTTCAGCTTTGGAATGTTTGACGACGCTTGTAATGTTTAATCAAGTCCAATTTTCAAAAGTATACTGTCTTATGCCCGGCAATTTAACTATCACACACATGTTTCCCGTATTATTCAACTTGCTTGTGAACTTTAGGTACATAAGAACAACATGACTTAGGGTAATTGAATTGCATTATTTACCCCGAAGTTTCCTTTGAATCGAGAATAGAAATCAAACTAAAAAAAGAAGTTATATGTTACAACAATTTTTATTAAGTTAATTGGTATGTTTAACTAGGAAGTTTTGATACTTATATTGGTAACTTAGATTTTAATGTTATGCGTAATTACCCATTCGTATGAACATCAGAGCCACGGTACCACCAGCCCTATAAATCGAAAGTAGCCCAAAGGGTCCCAAATTTAGATCTAAGCCATCTTTAAGGCCAGAAATCCACTATTTTTTATGTGATTATTTTATTCCCTAAGGTTTTATATTTAATGTATACATACTCCAGCCAAAACTAAATTCTATGATTTTTTTTTAAAGCAAGTGAATTAATTAGTGGAACGCACTGAAACAGTATTCCAATACTGCCACGCCTTGTCAGCTTGACGCAGGTCTCAGACTTGCTGTAGTGAAACCCACGAGCATGTACATAACGTTGACAAACATTGAAACATAATCGGAGCGACCCGGGATTTGAACTCACGATTGCGAGTGTCTGGTAATACAAGGGACGTAACTCTCCACTGAGAATTAGCCGCTCGTCTTCAGGGAGTCAACATTAAATGTTGATGTCATTTGTTGCCCTGTTTTGTTTTTCTGATCTGTGTTCCTATCTAATGTTTGCTGTATTACCATGTCCTTCACCTCAGTTATTGATCATTTGCTCAGCAAGAGTTTTAGCACCTCAGACTCGATTATTTACAGACCGCCGCCATTTAGCTGGAATATTGCTGAGTGCGGCGTAAATCTAAACTCTCTCTCACCACTCACCCACTCACTCAAACTAGCACCTGTGGTGAACATAAGCATTGAAATATATAGAAGTTGTATTCCACAAAGCCGTTTGTCATTGTATAACTAGTTCTACTGATGAAGTGTGTTTTGACGTGTAGAAACAATATTGCTCCGAAGTTTTAGAAATGAGATAATTTCAGGGAAACATACGGTCGTGTGTGAATTTCTGCACCGTATAGACACCATGGCAATGTTACATGTGTTATCGAGTTTTTCACCGGGGTTCCAATTACCGCTTGGTTGTATGAGATACTGGATGTCTTCACAGAAGAAATATATAAAGGATATCTTCACAGATTCGATGGTCAGAAAGAAAGTAATATACAGGGGTACCTGTAGACTAACAACTAGTCTCTGAAATGAACATATTTTACTGAAAAAAATTCATAGTAAACAAAAAATATATATATAATGAAAAGGAGCCCTGAGACTTTCTTCATTTTCTGAAGCTGAGGAAATCTAGACTTGCCTGACTAGACTTGTGTGGGTTTGGATATATTTACGCAGGGTCTGTTTAGAGAGACTAGGGTTCCACGACCTCTGATCGAGGTTGCATATTTACGTGCGCTTCAAACTGTGCTTGCATTGCTCTTAGGTAAATAAGTAGTAGCAAATAAATACATACAAAATATAACAATATGTAAATAAGAGATTGCGAAGAAAGTCCTTGTAAAGCGGAACGGGACATTTTATTTAAGAAAGCAATATGTTTTCCTACTACTGCAAATTTTGTATCTAGTTTTCTTTAAACGCGAAATTTGTCTACATGTTTTCATGTACGCAGGGAGGGGTGTGTCACCCATTTTGTTCTGGCGAGCTAGTGGGGTCATCAGTTTTGTACACACGCACTAGGAGGGTCAGCAAATTATGCTTAGAAATTATGGGAAGGGGGGTAATTGATTTTGTACATGACATGCCGTAGGGTGTGTGTGGAACTTATTTTGTACATAAATGTTATGTGTGTGTGTGTGTGTGTGTGATCATGATCCCCACTAGCCATAAATTATGAACGGTCCCTCAGCAAGTCATGTTCGACGAACTGGTTGTCAGCTGGCCCGCGTGGTAACAGGGGGCACCAAATATATAGTGACGGGACCAAATTACTGCAAGACCATTTTACCTTAAAAATTAAGACAATCGTTTTAGACGTTTTAAGTAATGGATCCAATTTGAATGTTTTATTTATTAACGTCTCATGAGTATGATACTATATTTATCCGCAATATGTCACGTGATTTCATCATTACAATATAGTGTTTTACGCCTCTTTTTAGCAATATTCCAGCAATATCACGGCGGATTTTATCAGAAATAAGAGGATATTGTAGTATGGGGAATCGAACTGGGTCTTCGGCGTGACGAGCGAACATCATTTAAGAGGGTTAGTATACTGGTATAGTGATCTCAGTGACAGAGAAAAGTATATATGAATATACTGTTCATGGATTTTGTTACAAATGAGACATTAATAAATCTCCTTGTAGGATTCAACCAAACAGTTTTGAACCGAAAATCTGACAATTCTATAAGGAATTTAAATAAGCTGCAAACCCAGCGACTTCGCTATTAAGACAGTTAAAGATTTACTTTAAACAAACCTAGGCATTACGATAAACTTTCTTGTAAACGTTATGAATGGGTTCGTGATCAACTTGAACGGCCAAGGAATGATCGATATGCCCAATGGAAGAAATTGAAATTCTAGGTTGTGTCCATTTACTGAAGATAAGCGATATATATGGAAAACCGGAATGAGTATAAGTACATAGAGATAAGCGTTCTGGAGATAGAAACGGATAAGTCAATCTCCCTTCCCGAGCGCGGTTCACAGCTTCCTCATGGATCCAATCTAACTTGATAAGAAATTCAGTACGGAGAACTTTAAGAAATAATCATACACTTCTGTCGTATTCTTCTTCCTTACTAAGAGTGGGTGAGTGAATGAGTGAGTATGGTTTTACGCCGCTTTTAGCAATATTCCAGCAATATGACGGAGGGGGACACCAGAAATGGGCTTCACCCATTGTACCCATGTGGAGAATCGAACCCGGGTTTTCGACATGACGAAGGAACGCTTTAACCACAAGGCTAACCCATCGCCCTCCTTACTAAGAAGACTGAGCGTAGAAGCATTTAGTGATGTGTGCGTTCTCCAGTTCCGGATCTAGTTCCTGATGGAAATGCAACCTCGTTAGGTTGAAGCTCAGTCTCCGAGAAAGTAAGTGTAGGGTCTGATTTGAGATACATACAATTTGTATAGTTTCCGGATTGCCAGAGACAGAAATCACCCTTCCTCGTGAGCTGATGTTCCTTCATCTATTGCCCCCTGTATGTTGCCACTCAAAATGTGCAGATCAACCTCTTGCTTTAGCGCCGAGGAGGTACGTAGGTCTGTCTCCAGAATCCTGAAAGGAATGGTCTTTGGTCAAATATAGATGTCACTTTGTTTGGAATACTGAACTTTGAGTGTCAACTGCCGAGTTGAATGATAAAACCTTTCTGTGGTGAATTGGCGAACTTCCTCTATAACCTTGTGTAGCTTCTTGTTGTGTTGTCGTAAGAGGCGACTAACGGGATCGGTGGGTCAGGCTCATCCCAGTTGCGTAGATCAATGCTCATGCTATTGATCACTGTGTTGTCTGGTCCAGACTTCTGGCTTCTGGTTACAGAAGCGTTGTGTTACGATATGTGTGGCAGGACAACCTCTTCGACTGTTCTGAAACTGCTCTTTTCTGGACCTGTGAGAGAAGATGTTGTCTCTGAGACTATAAAACTGGCTGGACATCCAACATGGCATAGGGAGATCTTGTTGCAGCACCACCATGCTGTCTCACAGACTATGAATTAAACAAACCTGATTTGTCCGCGTGGTGAGTGAAAAGTCCCCTGATGGGCTCTCATTATATTCTTGAGTGAGTTTAGTTTTACGCCGCACTCAGCAATCTTCCAGCTATATGACGGCGGTCTGTAAATAATCGAGTCTGGACCAGACAATCCAGTGATCAACAGCATGAACATCGATCTGCGCAAATGGGAACCGATGGCATGTGTCAACCATGTCAGCGAGCCTGACAACTCGATCCCGTTAGTGGCCTCTCACGGCAAACATGGGTTACTGAAGATCAATATTCTAACCGGGACCTTCACCAGTTCATTATATTTTAGAAGAGGAGGTATGACGTGATGTACTCCAACCAGAAACCATTCAGTACAAGTCCCAGTCTTCATGATGTGTCCACGGACAGTATGAAGCTCTTTGATCCATGACATGACATCCTTGTGACGTGAGACTTCACCTGAAGAAGTCTTTGTTGGGATATGGGCAGTTGTTTCAGCACATTCTCATTGGCTTGATATGTCACTTGCTTCACATAATTTAGCCAGGGAGGGTATGACTCAATGAATTCAAGCATCTGTGGTGCATCAGAATTAGAATGCAGCATGTCTTCTTTCCTTTTCATGTTTGGGTGTTCAGCAAGTTGTTATTGTCTCAGAGATAAGTCCAGAATAAGGCAGTTTTGCACTTCTACAATAGGTTCCAAATCCAGATGGAAGTCTTGAGAAAAGATGCGAGACATCTGACCATGCTTATGCACAAGAGCCTTGGGCCAGCAAGATACTTTTCCTTGCACAACTGTTTATGGATAGTTGACAGTGAAGATGACTTTGGTTGAAACCTGAAGATTTTACAGTGTGATGAGAGCCAAAATACATGGGGTAGGGCAGTGATATTCGCAGACATTATGTATGTCTCACCGGCAATGGAAGTAAAGACATCGATCTTGACCACCCAACTTTAAACAAAAAAAACCCCAAACAAACAAAATGATTTGGGTCATGTTTTATGATTTTGAGCAGTTAATCAAACTCATTATTGACCTGTGATATAGTGAGGGCTCATCTGCTCTCAGCAATGTTCTAGTTGTGTGGCAGTGGCTTGTCAATATTCAAGTCTGGACCAGACAATCCAGTGATAGATGGAGTGGGCATAATATATAACATCAGAGATTAATCAGGCTTGACTATCTGCCCAAACAGACTAAATTGTGGTGAACAAATCACTCACAACACCTGGTGTTTGCACGCCATCTGGTAAGATGACTAGCAATCAACCATGTCAACGAGTCTGACCATTTGGTCACCTTATGACCAATATAGATGGCTGGGGACCCTATCCTGCCTGGAGTTAGTTCCACGAAGGTTGGTTGGTTGGTTCTTAACGCCACACTCAGCAGAATTCCAGCTATATGGCGACGGTCTGTAAATAATCAAGACTCAACCAGGCAATCCAGTGATCAACATCATGAGCATTGATCTACACAATTGGGGTGAGTGAGTGAGTTTTAGTAATATTACAGCAATATCACAGCGGAGGGACACAGAAAATGGACTTCACACATTGTACCCATGTGGGGAATTGAACCCGGGTCTTCAGAGTGACGAGCGAACGCTTTAACCACTAGGCTACCCTACTGACCCTACCACGCAGTTGGGATACAATGGCATGTGTCAACCAAGTCAGTGAGTCTGACCACCTGATCCCATACAAAGCAATCATAACACTTCCATGATCATAAGTCTCATACCAAAACCAGTTATGACTGTCACAGCACTGTAACTGCACACTGGAAGGGTTCCATTTAATAGACAACTATGTCTGTCAACCTGCCAATTTATTCTTTGACAGGCTGAGCTGAGGCTAGTTGTTTGAACTCAAAACACACACATATGGAATGTCACGTATCATTTATTCCGGAAATATGATATATCATATAGTCAACATTACACATAAAAGACTAAAGGACCATCTGTATGTATACATTTACAGGGCATACAGATTTCCTTCCAAACTATTCCCACCAACTTGTACCACAAACATGAACAAAAACACAGACAAATATTGCAACTTAAAGCATCATCACCAAACACTATAACACTGGTTGGATTGTGTGAATGTTTTGGGTCTGTTAATATTGGAATAATTGTTTGCATGAATGATGGGTTAAATATTTGATAAAAATTTGTATGAATGTTTGAGTGAATGAATGTGAGTGTTTCATGTGCAAATATTTATGTGATTCTTTATGAGTGAATGTTTCTGTCAATAACTGTTTTACCTTTCTGTCAATAACTGTTTTACTGCGTTTGATTTTGCACATATTTGTTGATTTTGTTTTGGTGAACATTTGTGTAAATATTTTTGATTAGATTAATATTGATGTAAATGTTAGTGCGATTGACCACAGGGACTTGTCACAATAAACTAGCATCAAGGTATGTATTGTCACTGCTGTGGTCTTCGTGCTATACTAAAGGCCCTTTATTCGCAACTAAAAACCCAGCAGTGACAAATGTAGGGCTATGCCTACCAGTGTTTGTGTTTCAAGCAGCTGTGGGAATGACTGACCCGGTATTTGTTTATTATGTCACTCTGTGATTGTACCACAACTGGTTTGGATTTTGTACCAATTAATTGCTTCCATATTTTCAGTTTCTAGAGTCACATGATGCTGATTCTTCCTATTTACACACCAACAGAAACTTATCAAGAACCGATCAACATTTTCTTACATTTAACTCAGCTTCACCAACTCAAGGGTGGAGAACTTTGTTTAAAAAAACAAGGATCATAAATTATGCTTGTCTAGTCTATCAATTATAACATAATTTAAATTTTAGATGACACATCAGATGTTCTGACTAAATGTTGACTAAATTCTTCCTCAACAATACTTTGAATCATTACTCATTAGTTTCATGTTCCACGCCGTGATATTGCTGAAATATTGCTAAAAGCGGTGTAAAACCAAACTCACTCACTCACTCCCAATTAGTTTCAAGAAGACCAGGATGTCCTAGAATCCATTCTCACACCTCATGTACAGTGTGGTGATTGTGTCATCTCTTTGAACTGTTCATCCTCGATAATCTCCTGGGTATATGTTACGATCACTCTCTACTATACCCTGGATGCATCCACGGCTTGGCCCTATGATTTTATTACCTCCCTTGGCTGGATTTTTATCCAATCAGGTGTCTACGCTCGGAAGTTGAGCGAACCAATCACAACTCACTTTCTCTTCTTAAATTATCTAACCGTTTAAACTTGGCAACACAATTGATGCAGAGGTATTCTGAAAGAGGTAGGAGTTCTTTCATATTTTTTTTTAAAGTTTCAGATCTGTCAATTTGTCTGTATGATTTCCCCAAAAATAAGAGGGGCACTGCGAACAAACCTTCGCGACTGCGACCCGCTATCATTGTTGACACTGGCAAGCTCAGATGTAACAGCGGATTAGCTGATTGGCTACTGAGAGAAGTGGAGCCAGCAAAGGGAGGTAATAAAATTATCGGGCCAAGCCGTGGATGCATCCAGGGTATAGTGGAGAGTGATCGAAATGTATACCCTGGAGATTATCGAGGATGTGAACTGTTACATCAATACATACCAGACAGATATCAATGGAAAGCTGTTACTGATGCAGGTCTCAGATGTTCACAACTCTGCCAACACCCACGAGCAGGCGTAAGGTGCTGACAAACCATAATGGTGCAGACTGTGAATCTAAACCACCATCATGGTTTCTGGCATGCCCAAGGGACGTAACTCTATTCACCAAAAGTTTAAGAACACTTTTTTCACACTACATCAGTTAATCTATTTAATCTAACGGTTTCTCCATGCAAGATCCATGTACTGCACTTGTCTTATATAGATATTTCACCATACTAAGCACATGTATTGAATTTTGTTATGATCTTATTCTTCTAATGCAACCATCTAGCATTTGATTATTCCATGTGCAAGTACTAATAAAGCACTGAATATCATCTAACCATGAAATAAATCTTCAAATTTAGGAAATTCGCTTGCCATCTTAAAACAAATTCTGCTACATCTTTACTATTTTAAATATTTGAAAAGATAAAGATTCTCCATTGCCTTCAAATATTGTTATTCAGCAATCAAAATGTAAAGCAAAATGATAGCAAAATCATTTCATAAACATGATTTCAGTTGCCAAATATTTGTCATGCTTACAGGACAAAGAATCTCATCTTTTTTTTTAAATAAGTGTTTTGATTAGACATTATACTGTTCATAACTGAGAGAGATGATGATGATGATGATGTTTTGTCAAGAACTGTTTTACTGAGTGTGGGGTCTGGGGGTCAGCAATTTTGTACATAAAATATCATGCAACAGATATCATGTGTAACATAGGGTCATGGGGGATTCACTGATTTTGTACATGATATGCAAGGTCACTTACTTTGTACAAATAATTAGGGGGTCATTCACATTGTACATGCTTCTCTATAAATATCATCATCAAACACCACCACCCCACCCCACCCTAAATTATAAACGGTCCCTAACAGTTTAAAGTCAAGGTTTTTCTTCATAACTGTGCCTGAAGGAAAACACCTGTTCAATTATAACATACACTACCCAACATGTGATGACAATACCGAGGTCTTTGTCAATGATATATACAACATAAATATGCAGTGTGATCCCAATAAAAAAACTGGCAGTACATTAGAAGCAATCTGACAATCTAGAATAACAATGGAATGAAAGACACGAGCACATCCACATGCAAGATCAACCTGAATAGAACATTAATTGATGAAGAACACGGTTACATGATGCAAAATAGACCAAGAGCTATCATGTTAGCAGTTTACTCTAGGGCTGCAACGGTTCGGTTCGATTCATCGAAAATCGAATCTGACACCTTAGCTTCAATTTTCGTAACCATTATCACTATTTCGATTGGGTATTTGAATACCTATTATATCAGTTCCACACAGCGAGAACGTAATTTGAGCAGTTTTGAGTGCTGAAAAAGGCAAAACTTGATAAGTTGACGCTGGGCTAATTATCCAATGAGAACAGTTGTTAAGTTTTAGCTTTAAATGTCTTGACTATCTACCTGTCAATCTTGGATCCAATCCTCTGGTCCCTAGTTGACAAAGAAGGATTTAAACACCTGTCTTTGGTATCATCAAAATCTTTTTGGAATACTGCTACGTCAATGACAGAAATTGGAATGGAAAGATGACAAGACATACAAAAGACTGGTACAAAATATTCCAGGGTCCTCCATATGCAATAACATCAGCAGATAAACATCACACATCAATAATGAACATGTCAAACAATAAATAGCAATCATTTTGTCTCGAACAAACTGCACGGCAAGATCAAGTCAACTTCGTAAACAACAACGTCAGACATCGCCCAAAATCAGACTGAATAGAACCATTTCACCTCAGCACTGTTATGCAACAAAATACCAAAGTATATGTACAGTGGAAGCTGTCTAAACCGGCACTGTTATACCAAAGTATATGTACAGTGGAAGCTGTCTAAACCGGCACTGTTATACCAAAGTATATGTACAGTGGAAGCTGTCTAAACCGGCACTGTTATACCAAAGTATATGTACAGTGGAAGCTGTCTAAACCGGCACTGTTATACCAAAGTATATGTACAGTGGAAGCTGTCTAAACTGGCACTCGTCAGGACTGAAGAAATAATCTGGTTTAGACAGCGTGCAGGATTGTATAGCTGATTCCTAAGACTTGAACTGAACCAGTTTTGTCACTCTCATATACACTGTGGCAGACTTATTTTGCAGCACAGCTCTGACTGACTACTGACTGACTGGAAGTTGGCTTTAGCAATATTCCAGCAACATGTACGTGGGGGACAACCAGAAATGGGATTCACACATTGTGCCCATGTGGGGATTGAACCGGGTCTAGACAGCGCTTTAACCATTAGGCTACGCCCCCTGGATAGAGCTGATTACTATAAAAACACATATTCGGGCAGCTCATTTCATACCGAGATAAGGAACTGACAGCTGCTGGATTGCAGAGCTATTAAATAATGATAATTGTACTTGCCACGGACTGAGATTTTATGCCGGTGTTGACAACTTGCTGGATTGGACAGCTGCCGGTTTTGGTAGCTTCCGCTGTAATATACAGCACTTCATTTCTGATACGATGCATATCATTATACATATTATATCTTAACTTGAAATAAGACTGCATGAAAACACTATAAATTTGATAAACTGATTTTTAAAATTGTTTTCAATGAATTTGTTCAAAACCAAAACAAACTGTTGATCAGTTTGGATCGAATGGGAAGTCATTACAAAGACTTGTCAAATGAAACATATCCTTACAGAATAAAACTCATGAATAATGTATATTGCAGAGCATCATAGTGTAGAGTTTCATATAAGCTGACCCATGTCCTATTAGCAATTGTGATTCACAAAATACCAACCAACAGATAACTGTACTAGGGTGCCTTTTTGTTTAGCACCATGTCTGACCTCTGTATGGTGCTTGGTTAAAAATTGCTTTTCCCATCAAAATGGTTTCAGACATTGAATGACAAATCTGATCTTGCAAAGAAAGAAAGTTGAGTTTGTTGCAATCCAAGTTGACTGTGCATGCATGCACTAGGAGATATCACTGTTGAAAGGATGGACGCCGGACGGTATTATCACAAGAAGAGAGGGTGTGTCTGCCTGTGTGTTAATCGCTTCCGGCACGTGGGGCAGCAGTGTTGAGCCCGGATGGCTTGTCCAATACATTCATCACAGAACAGATGACCACATGTTGTAGACATAATCTGGCGGTCACTTCGGCGAATCTGAAAAAATGTTAGACATGGGAACGTGAACAGTAGAAATACAATTCAAAATTATAGCCCACATTGTGCTCAGGACAAATATATATCCAATGATGGTTTTCCAGATGGACTTATCATTCCTAAGCAATTACACTTGGGAAAGTTCTCATTCATCATTTTGTTACAACAGAACAAAACAGACATAAATGTTAACTTTGTAAACATTTTTTTATGCAGAACTTTTACTCTAAACTTGTCTTTTAAATCACAGACCCATGAAGACCCGGCTTAGAATTGGTCTTCATAAGAAGCGACTAACAGGGTCAGGTGGTCAGACTCGCAGACTTGGTTGACACATGTCATCAATGCTCATGATATTGATCACTGGATTGTCTGGTCCATACTCAATTAGATAGCCACCAAAAAGGTGGACTATTGCTGAGTATAGCATTTAACAAGAACCAAAGCACCAACCAAAATGATGATAATGGGGTATAACAACATGTTGAGTAACTGAGCATGAGCACTTAATCCATGAAATCTCCTTTACATCCAGCAAAGGTTCATGGGGACAAGTTCTAATCCTGAATACCCAAGTCCTGAATATATACTATAATCTCCACACACCTGTTTGTCATCATCCATACAGATGGGACAGGTGATGGTGATCTGCTGAGGAGATGTCACAACTCCAGATCCTTCTCCACTTGGCCTGGAACATGGAACAGATCACATGATATAACGTTACCGAATCTTGTTGGTCACTCACCTGGCCAAACACATTATATTGCCTTGTTGTATAGTTTGTCACATCAATATGTATTATTCTGGTTGCAGTTTGAGTTACTCCCCACAGCAAGGGCTAAAATGTTTAACCAGGTACTAAAAAATGAGCACTATTTGAGCAGAACATTAAATTACCCAAGTATACTGAGTTATCTCCCTTGTTCAATATTATTATCTCCCTTTCTTAGCAACCATGGCAGAAAATGAACTCTCCTTCATGTCTTCAACAATTCTTGAATAGTGTGAAGATTAAAACAAACAGTAACTGCACAATTGGCTGAATTCAACTCTATAAGAAAAACTGATGCTGCCTTTATAATGAAGAACAATCTGAAACTGAAACACTGGACATTACCACAATTATACACATACAGCAAGCCTAGATCTGCTTAGTGTTACATAACAGGTCAACAGGTAAACTAGCTTTATCAAGATTTGACAAGCAAGGGTTGTATGATGTACGTCAAAGGTCCATACTATTGACAAACATCTCTTAATAATCACCCAAAAATAGGACAGTAGGATGAAGGTAGAAGACAAAACAATTCACACTTAAACAGAATCTGAGTTATGCTGTCTAACCAAAAATGAACTTGAAGAGTTTTTGCTGTTTTGCCAAAAGACAGTTTTACCTGCCAATTATTTCTGTGCTATTTCTAACTGAGTAAAACATATTTAGGATAATAATTATTAGGGAATGAGTCATTTCAAGAATTTTCTAAAAACAGAATAATGGTAACTTTGATAAGCACTTACAGATTTCACATCTACTTGTCACACATAAATATTTCTTTTCATTAACTTGCTGATTGTAAGGGTTGAGCATTTTTTCTCATCCACTTGTAAAGACGTATATGCCAAACCATTGACACACAATTCAAACAGATCATTAAGTACTCCGTTTCTTTTTGTTTACCCTTTTCGTTTCTAGCCTAAACCGTAACAGGAACCCTTGGACTTTACCATTTTTCTCACTTGAGATGTTTTCTTGATTTCTTAGGAGAGACTACAGGCTCAAGTAAATTAGCTCCAATGAAACAGCACTAAATCTGCTCACACAGTTCTTATGAAAATGATTATGAAACAAATGTGTCACCAAATTAATGCAAATGGGGACCCCAACCGAAATGTGCCATGAAATCATAGGAGGTACATTTTCCCATAGCCTCATTATCAGGAACATCCTGTTCCAATCACATCACTGTGATATTATGATATCTCAAATGAGTATAAATTTACATTGTATTAGTGCAGGGGCTTGTGTAATTCTGTGGGAATTACATGTTAATTTTTGGAACCAATACTAATTGTAATCACTGTTGTGTATGGATTCAGGAAAAACATGGTTCCATTTTTTCTGTTTGCTGTAAGTGTGTGTCATTGTGGGGTGATTGAATATGAGTTCCCAAAATTGCTTGCGACACCATTTCGAGAAAAACATGTTTTCACAACCTATCACAACATAGTCATGTAGCATATCAAAATGCAGCTTGTGATGTATGGCATAGAGATAACCACATAATATGCTTCTAATTTCAATTTGGTGACATAAAATATGGCATAACCAATTAAATTAATCAAATATTGTCTTTCCTTCATCAGACACCAACATTGTAAGTATTGGCCTATATCAATGGAAACAAGTTATTCAATTAATGTATTCTCCCATTTCATAATATATACTACCATGACACACTTATGTACGTAGTAATAATAGTACCCAGGTAAGGTTAATGTGACTATCATATAGTCGTGCACAAGTGACACTCGTGTCTCGGTAATTAAATGACAAATGACATAAAGCCAAATCTGCAGTCAATACAAACTGAATGTATTAATACAGAAGTGACAAATTATATCACAGTAAACAGATAAATACATATTCCAAGTGGGGTATGCAAGTGCAAATTAATGTGCACTAGTATATTTATTTTAACTTTCACATTGTTCAGTAACTTGCTTAGTCAATCAATCCGTCATTAACCTGCAAGAACAAAATATACTGTTGAAATACAAGTTTCGACATTATTTGTCATACAAACACAAGTATGAATTCTTCTTAATTTGGAAACTAGAAGGGCCCTCGTCAGAGAACATGCCTCCGCCTTGCACAGAAATTTCCTTTCACTGTTACATTTTTAAAGTACTACTGCGTACTTGTACTTTAATGTACTTTCACCAAACCGTACGCAGATAACCCTTGTGTCATACCAAACATAACCACCAAGATTCATTCACTTTTTGAGTTATTATTCATATTCTCCATTTATTTAACATTGCGATTATTTTCAAAGGACCTCTGTGTACATGTACTTTAACATACACTCTTCAAAAAGAAAAGAAACGTAAAACAAAATTTGAAAAAAAAAATGAAAATTGGTACGCAAATGTCAAATTAAGCATGTTTTGAGGGTTGAATATTGTTGTTGGTATGGGTTAGAAGAACATGTGTGAGCGAATGCAACCATAAACGATTTTGAATGGTTTTATCGATCATGATTATCATGATGAGCTTGCCCGGTATGGAACACAACCAAAAGCCGCAATTATTGTTTTCCGCATGCAACCTATAATTATAAAAGACCCAAATGCATCTCGCACATTCATCCAAGGCCCTTGCAAATATTGGATGAGAAAATGGGACGTCTCAACGGTACCCACCGAAATATTGCCATTAGACGATTACAAGCTGGCGAATCCAAGAGTATCGTGGCGATGACCTTCAGCATTCATCCCAGCACAATAACTCGTTTGTGGGATCGCTTTGTGCATTCCATTTCGACAAATGACCATCCAAGACCAGGAAGACCGGGAGTCACCACACAGCCCAAGATTGCTACATCCGGGTAACCCACCTACGTGACTGCCATCATTCCGCACGGAACACAGTACAAGAATGGTTTGGAGCCCGGAGAATGTCCGACTAGACAATCAGGAATCATCTCCGAGAGGTAGGTATGCATGCCAGACGTCCACAAGTTACCCTCTCTCTGACACGATTACATCAACGTCCGTGAGTCAGGTGGTGAAACGTGGTGCAGCCACGGAGCCTTGGAAACTGGAGGCACATATGGTTCAATGATGAATCGCGGTATCCCCTCAAGCGACGTGACGGAAGACAACGTGTCTACAGACCACGCAATGAACGTTTTGCATCCAACTGCATCAGGCAAGTGGACAGATTTGGTGGAGATGGTGTGATGATGTGGGGATCCATCTCATACACCTGCAGATCGGAATTGGTCCAAGGCAATCTTACGGCTGCGAGATATACCGACCAGATTCTCCATCCTCACGTGCATCGTCTTGTAGACCGCCAAAGGGAGCTGTACCATCAGGACAACGCCAGACCTCACACAGCACGTGCGCTACAGTGGACTACCTGGACAATAACAACATCAATGTCCTCCCCTGGCCCTCCAGATCCTCAGATCTGAAACCAGTTGATTACATGTGGGATCAGATAGATAAACGTGTACGTCAACGTCGTAATCCGCCATTGAGGCTTTAACAGTAACTGTTGTTCAACATGCTGCAGGAGGAATGGAGAAGGATTCCACAACGAAACATCCAACAACTGATTCAATCTGTGTCAAGGAGGTGTCGTGCAGTTCTAGCAATAAGAGGTGGCCATACAAGGCAGTAATGTCAAAGTCACCTCGTGGACAGCAGTAATGACTATGATGACTGTCATTCTTGTGAAATGTGCATGAGATACCAATGTATTGCTCTACATAATTTCAATGCTGTACCATTTATTTTCGTTGATTCACATAATTGAATAAATTTTTCAATGATATTTTGCTTTTGCGTTTCTTTTTTTTGAAGAGTGTACTTTTTCAACATCTAATTGATTTGTCCTTGGGACATACCCAAGAGATCCAGAAAGTTTCATTGAAATCCATCTAGTAGTATTTGAGTAAAGATGCTAACACATAAATACACACACACACAAACAGGGTTGAATGCATACCCTCTGTAACAAACCTTCGGTTTTGGCCAAAGCACTTATGATCATAGGGATTATTATGCATACAAATATTTTTGGGATTCATGACATATAATGGTAGTTGTAAATTTTGACATACTACATGCAAATGTTGTCATAGGTTTATAAAAATATGATTATGGGTACCGATGTTCAATTACCCCAGAATGACACTTATAATCATCAGAAAAAATGGAACCATGGTTTTTCTGAATCCATATGCAATACTGATCACAATTAGTGGTTCCAAAAATTAACATGCACTTCCCACGGGAAGCATTTTTGCTACATAAGCCCCTGCACTATATTGTCATCTTCTGCATTTGAATGCTGAGCTGAAGTTTGGTGTTCACTAGTCTCCAATGAAATTCAAATTTCTAGATGTATTATCATGAGAAAGCCCTACATTCTTATGAATTTAAAACAGAATCTCCCGAATCTGAAAAAAAAATCATATACCATACATACAATATACTAATGGAAAAACGGAAGTTAAGTTGTTTAAAAAGCAAACCCGAGATCATTAATACCACTTCAGATGCAAAATCAATTGCCTTTATAACAAAAAAAAGCAAGCGAAAATTCAGTAAGATCATTCGTGACTGGTGACAGGCAATATTTAAATAGAAAGACACGTTATCACAACACTCCCTCGCTGTGCGGAGTGAAAAGTATGGTTCATCGTCGAAAACCCATACAAAATCCACGGATGTGGCGAACGGCAACAGTTTCGCAGATACGATGTCATCAACCTTATTTTTGTAGGAAACACTTGATATTTTTGTGTGAAATAGATGAATATATCCTTTATCACCCAAGGTTAGTAAAATTAAAACTTCAAATGATATTACAGATAAAAATTACGTTTTTGTCTCGAAAACCCCTGATACCGGGATACTAAACTTTTCAATCACTGACACGCCTAACTGCCCTTACCTATAAGGAGTGCCTGTGGCATCAAATGCAGGAAGTTCTTCATCTTCTGAATCAGAGTCCTGATATATCCGTTGTGTTCTTGGTGCTGCCCGCCTTGATATACTACGGCCCCTCCGTCGCCCTCTACTTCTAAATGACCTTGACCTTCTATTTCCACTGATGTCAGCTGCAAGAATAACAGTTTTGTTTTCTAATTTATGAACACTGATAGGAATGTTGAAGAGTCATTTGGACAAATATAGCAATGTCATGGATTGAGATTCATCAGGAGAAATCTGATCTCAAACTGAAATACAAATGCCATATATCTATTATTCAAAAAACAAAGCAACTATTTACATGCCTCCTCTCATAAGCCCTCACTTTCAAATGCTATCTGACTTTCATTTTCCTAATCTCTCTCTACGTGTTACAATGGTATGACACTGAATCTGTTTCAAAACTAATGGAGGCAGTTCCACTCACTGAATCTCACAGTTTGTTTGTTTAACGCTGCACTCCGCAATGTTCCAGCTGTATGACAGCAGTCTGTAATCAAGTCTGGACCAGACAATCCAGTGATTGATATCATCTGTATTGATCTACGCAACTGGGAAACAATAACTTGTATCAACCAAGTCAGCGAGCCTGACCACCTGATCCTGTTAGTTGTCTCTTCTGACAAGATTGGGTTGCTGAAGACATTTCTAACTACGATTTTTTAAATGGGCTCTCCAGAGTTTTAACAAACAGTCACAAATTTAAAACTACCTCAAATATAGTCAAACCTCAAGCCCTGGTGCTAAATCAAACATGATAAAACTAGGATTGTTGAAATTTTCTATTAAAACTTGTTGAAAAGAAATAATTTAACAGCTTTAAAACATTCCCACTTAAGAAAAACTCACCATGGTAATTTAAGTAACTGAAAAGAATAGTCAACTTACCATCAATGGCTGACAGCACCTGTGAAGAAAAAAATAATGATTTGAAGGATTATGCACCAACTCAAACGTTCATCACTTCCAATAATACCCACCGCTAAGAATAAGATACTTCATTTACAAATCCTAAGTTACAAAATTCTACACCAAAGTGGTCAATTTAAACTGCTTCCATGACCCACATAACAATTATGTAGAGGTAAAGCCACATGAAGACTTTGTGGGAGTTGTTTGTGCTGCTGTCATCAATATTCCAACTACATGATGGGTAGTACATCACTGCGTCCTGTAAATATGCAAGTCTGTGATGATGGCTGGAACAACGATCCATGTTATCAGGGTAGATGGTGTGATAAGTGAGTGAGTGAGTTTAGTTTTATGCCTCACTCAGCAATTTGCCAGCTATATGGCGGCAGTCTGAGAAAGGGAAGGGAGAGAGAGAGAGAGAGAGAGAGAGGGAGGGGAGAGAGAGAAAGAGAGAGAGAGAGAGAGAGAGAGAGAGAGAGAGAGAGAGAGAGAGAGAGAGAGAGGCTGGATGGTTGGGTGTGTGGGGTGAACACACACCCCTGGATCTGCCCCTGAACACCACACTTGCTAATATTTTGCTAAATGACTATAGTCTATAATTAATCGAGTCAAGACCTGAAAATCCAGCCACAGACATCGTGGGGATAGGGCCTGTAAGTCTCACAAGGCGCTGCTTCCAGTACTAAGCTGTTTCCCAGCACCATTTGTGCACACCAACTTGTGACATGCGAGATGGGCCACAGCTTTATTCCAGTACCAGATTTCTGGTGAAAAGAGTGGACTCAAGAACCAGTTCTGGTTCAAATTGTGCGACCGCCAAATATGACTTTACTAGACCGGACCAAGTGTACAACCATGCCTGGCTATCACAGCTGTTGACAGTCGTAATAGTTGGCTAATTTGGTGATGGTTAGATTGGAAATTTGTTATTCTTGCAAGGATTATTTGTTCCTTACTGACAACTGGCAACCATGAGACCAATCGAAAAGGTATGAAATGTTGTTTGTCACCGGAAGTACAAAGGTCTCATGAAGTGCGTGACCTACTTACGTGCCCTATTGATCTGTGCAATCGGGATGCATGCATCGAGCAAGGTCCTGACCTGCTGGTCACCTCCTGAGACAACATTTGCGGATCCAGAGGTCGAGATCCTTTTGAAAATGACTTAAGACCACATTGAAGATATTTTTTGCGTTGGTGGAGCCAATTGGGGGTTCAGGGGGTTCGAACCCTCTGAATCCCCCTCTTTAAAAATTACTGGATCCGCCCATGGACAACCATGGATTGCCGAAGACAAATACTAACCCACATCTTGTTACCAGGCACAGAAATTACACTCTGTAAATAATCTGGACCACACAAGCCAGTGATTGATAAAATGACCACATTGAAATGTAAATGTGTGAATCCTTATCAGAAGAAAGCAACATACAGTGGACTGAGAACATGGGTTATGTTCTTCATCTGGTTCTCCAATCGATATCAGTGAGGTACTCACAACAACAGGGCTGTCATTAACACTGGTCAGGTCAATCACTTCATCATCATCAGTCGTCAGATCAATGCACATGCCATTATGATTTGTATCTGAAACACCAGAACATCGGAACATTCACACCATTGTCAAGCTGTCTGTACTGACATTATTCATTAAAAGGCATTTTGTGTTTGTAAAAGTTTCTATTTCTGAAGCCCACCTTGTCAAAATATTTTGGCCATGTCTTTTAGTGATGTTACTGCACTTCGACTTTCAGCTGGTTTGTCTGTTGTTTAATGTCGCACACAGAAATATTCCATTTGGTAAACAATCTATTCTGGACCAGACAATAAAGTAATCAATACAGTGGGCATGATGCTCATTTTTGGGATACGAGGACATCTTATTGACCAAATTAGAAAGCCGCAACAACTCGGTGAGCCTAGTGGCTGCAAGAGTTGTATACTCCCCAAGGAGTTGAGATTGATAATGCGATGTGCAGTTGAGATTGACATCCAAAGATCGAGGGAAAAAATACCAGCGCCTTGAGCATGCACTAGTGTGTGGATATGTGTGCTATATAAATATCCTATAATAATAAAAAAAATTAAAAAATACATAAATTACTGAAGCTGATATATCATTTTGTGTGTTTTTGACAAGTAGCTGAATTGCAGACTGATACTTTGAAGCAATCAGGTTGCCGTGGTTACTGATCTCCTGGAGGTGTACAATCAGAACAAATATGTGATCTATGTTTGTCACATATAATCACTGATGTGACAGCTAGACAGTGTAAAGAATATCTGAATTCTGTTTAAATGCTTAACAGTTGAACTACATGCTTTGAGGAGTAGACATAACTTCAAGATTCAAGGATTGTTCACCTCCAAAGACCTCTGCAACTACTGGCACAAGAAGCCATTACAATTTTATCATCACAGTATCATGAATTCATTCTATTCTGATAAATACCCAGCACCCAATTGCCTGCAAAGTTTCATTTCAAGGATGACACTGGTATCTCAATCTTCCTTATCAGTAACTGTAAGATAGAACACAATTTCTCCTGCTCATGAGCATGGAATCCACTAACAAAATACTTTGTTTCAAACATTGTTCTGCACAAGAGTGCATTCTGAATCATACAAGAAAGCACTCAATATATTTCATCGGAACAAGACTGTAGTATGTGTACTATTTGTAATAATGTTTTTGTCAGTATTCAAACGGTGGAGAAAGTCTTAATGCTGCAACATGTACTAGACGTTCCCCATTATACTGTTGACAACATGCAATAAGTGAGTGAATGAGTATGCTTTTACGCCGCTTTTAGCAATATTCCAGCAATATCACGGAGGGGGACACCACAAATGGGCTTCAAACATTGTGCCCATGTGGAGAATCGAACCCGGATCTTCAGCGTGATGAGCGAATGCTTTAACCACTAGGCTACCCCACCGCCCCCACCGAAACTTAAGGCAAGCTGAGCTGAAATAGCCACTTCAGGTGTGTAGCGAGCTGTTTCTTTCTGTGTAAGCCCGATATGTTGCAAATCTTTATATTTAGATAGTATTGAGGGCTTGTCAAGCCTTTTTAGCAACAATCATGTGTAAGCACGGGCTTTTCTTTATTATGGTAGCTACGCCCCTGCACTTGTTTCAACAATGGCTCTTTTAGAATCCTGTCGATCTAACCGGAGTCATAATGAAGCTGTGATGGTGAAGGCTTCAGATAACCAAATGGTAACATGAAGTATAACAAAATGGGTAATTGAGAGTGCTTTCATGAGCAGTCAATGCATTTTCGACATGACCTAGGGTAGCACTAAAACCGGTGAAAACTTAAAGGGATGGTACATGTATATTGAACTACTTTATCTTGATAACTGATGCCTTTTCAGCCAGGACTGATAAACTTATCACTGATCAATTTTGTTTTGAGTTATTAAGTGTGAGGAAAACTATGGAAACTTGCCAAAATTCAGTGTGTAATCTCACTGCCTTTCAATTCAAGACATGAAACATAATTCCGAGTTTGAAAATAAAAATAAAAGTATCCTGAACTGCTATTTCCACAGTCACTATGTGTAATTAACGCTACACAAATGAGAATGTGACAATCCCTGATCTCAAAGGTACTGAAGGTATACTAAAATACATTTCATCACATTGCTTATACCGGTTACATGAGAAAGAATATAACTGAATATTTGCTGTTATAATTTTCATCTTAGGTAAATGATTAAGATCACACGAACAAGACATTATAATCAATCATTAACATGATCCACCCACTGCATTGTTTTGAATGATTATCATGAATAATTTATTTAGTACTGTCAGGTTCAGTTACAAAGAAATCTTTCTAACAGAACGTTACCTAGATCCACCACATCTGCAGAAGCATTGGCTGTTGAGGAAGACGTTGTATGCCTCAACAGAGACCGCACCTGGCTCAGTCGTCTTGTGTGACGGCGACTTGTGCGACGGCGGCTTGAAGGAGTCTGAACAACAGAAAGTATCAATTATTACTGTTTCCATGGTTATTATCCTGTCTAATGGTAGTACACAAGATCACTTCCTAATTGATAATGATTATTTGGTTTAAATTCAACATTGTTTTCAGACAGCAACCAAGAAAAGCAAGCTGTTTAGTTCTTATATAGTTGCTTGTATTAGCAGTGTAGGAAAGATAGCCCGTCCCAACATCCGAGACGGGTGAATTTTGTGGAGGACGGGTTAAAAAAATATCTAGTCCGTCCTCATGTCGGGTCAATTTTAGCAAACCAATGACATATATATAATGATTATAACCTTTTTGAATATTTACTGCCGAAGGTGTTTTATTTATATTTGGAGGAAAGGCTAGATTTTGGCAGGACTGGTACAAAATTTGACCTGCCAGGCCTGTGGACAGGCTAGATTTTCTACATCTTTCCTACACTGGTATTAGTCTGGATTATTGTCTATTATATACTGATATCTGACTGCGATTCTATGCCACAGGCCACAGTTTGACATGCACATCCTATGTCTACCGACTCCAAGCAGAACAGTCCTTATTTTATCCCATTAAGGCTGAGCATCAAGACAACGTAACAAGTACCATTGTTTAGCATCTTTTGGAGTGACATAGCATGGACCCATGGACCTTTCTCTCTCCAGGCTGACACTCATGTTCTGTTTGCACTTACAGATAAACATACAAAGATAAAAAAAAAGCTACTGCTAGGCTAAGTCTGATCAACATTGAATAAATGTCACACATGTAGTAAAAACTGCCTATTATAATGAGTGAGTTTAGTTTTACACTGCTTTTTGGCAATATGACAGCAATATCACGGCAAGGTGGCTGTAGGTGAATTCGTAGACCAGACTGGTTCGTAGACGTGGAAATCCGGTGGATTCGTAGGCGGATTGAGCGGTGGATTCATAGACGTTAGTAAAATGGGGAAAGTTCAACATCAATGATGATGAAAATCGATATTATGACTTTAATGTAAACGAAAAGTGTTTGCATTTTGTGAAATAAATAAAATATATTAGGTAAGTATGATTGGTGATATAAAATATGCTTCACAGTGGTCCACATCCAATATATTAAATTGAGTTTACCTGTACAAACACGTATGGTATATAAACATCAAGAAGGTAAAAAGAAATCATTCAGCATCAACCATGGCTCTATGCTTGTATGTGTGAAAGAAGTGTGTCCTAGACAGCATGCCATCCAGTGCGACAGCTGCGATCAGTGGCAGCATCGCCTTTGCGACACAGAAATCGACATCGCTACCTTCCGCCAGATGACGAAAGGGCACAAAGCATAACAACTTCGTTATACACAATCCAAGTGATTATCATACTTAATATGTTTACAAAATACTATTATTCAATTATTTATGCACGTCTACGAAATCACCGTCTACGAACCAGTCTAGGCTACAAATCCACCGCATCTACGAACTGGTTCAGCCTACGAAATCACCATCTCCCGGAAAGGAACACCAGAAATGGGCTTCACACACTGAACCCATTGAACCCAGGTTTTCAGTGTGACGGGCCAATGCTTTAACCACTAGGCTACCCCACCAGCCCCTGCTTATTGTAAAACAGAGACAATAAATTACTGCAACAAGCTACTGATAAGCATGTTAACAGGCATATTTTCAGTCCTACATGGCACATAATATAACTGTTACGGGATGTGAATAAAAGAGCAATATGAATGATAAGCAATGTCTTATTTTAGCACAGCTGAAGACTTTTCTGCCTGACAAAATGTTGATCTGAATATTAAGACATTCCAAGCATATTCACTTGTTTCAATCTTGAGAGTACAGTGTAAACTGATTTAACATGTTTAATGTCAACATTTACCATCAGACCATTTGAACTGGATTCAAATGATTCAAATAAAACTGACATTGTTGGTGAGGCAGTCCAAGGTATTATCAAAAGAGAATAGAGATATATCATATTTTTTCATTATTGAGGATGTGTTGCCTTGGAAAACTTTGCCAAATATCACAAATCATTCCCCAGAATTAAACAATGTCAGCCAAACAAGGAGAATTCCAAAGATTGGATTTTCATTCTACAACTGATGATGAGAGAATGTTCATCACTGCCATCTCAAGCACCATTGGAACTAGAAAATAAACTTACAACATTTTATTTCAAAACCATTTCAGTGATTTCACCCAAATTTTACTGACAACAGGTAAAAGTATTAATGTCAGACAGAATGCCCTTTTGATGCTAATTCTGACCCCTACCTGTCACAGTCAGTGGAAGGTTTGAAAAACACTCAAATCATCATAATATACCAGTTCAATCTGTTTACAAAAGTCTAAGGCATAAGAAAGCAGAATTTGATCAATCAATATTTAAACTTTTATCTGATCATAATAATCCTTTTTCGGTACATCAATCAAAATTTTCATCTGACAGAATCACTGCTTTCTAAGTTCCTCAATTTTCTACAATGAACAAAATAAACCACTTACTGGTGACCTTCAGATATATGAGCCTACTTAAATCAACATAACTTGGGCATGGAAGTGTTTTTGTTTGTGTTTTGTAGTTGTTTTTCACAGAACGTGAAACAACGTATTTGAATCATGTCGAAATGTTCTGATACATATACACAAACAATTCAAAAGGCTTACACTCATGCTCGTCGTCAGTCTTCGGAACGACACTGGCGCTGTCTACACAACTACAAAGAACACTGTCAGTCAAGAAACAATAATATTATAATGACTGTGTTGTCAGTAAAGTGACAAGTAAGTCACATCTTCTGTGTGATTTACTTCTTCCGATCCTGACGCTGAACTTAGAAGGGAGATAATTCCTCACTGTCTCCTTGTAACCCGCTAGCAAATATGAAACTTGTTCCATAAGGTAAATAAAGAACACGCATGGGATATGGAGTACCAGTTCTTTTCTTGAATGCGCTCATAACTTTCGAGATAATTGGTTTATTTTATGCATAACTCATTGTTTCTTTTTAAAGTAATAAAAAAGAGAGAAAATTATGAATGAACTGTCTAATCTGCAAAGAAACTAAAACCTGAAATCAATTCTTTATGGGTTCTCATGAAGTAACATTTTTTACGTTGTAAGCAACACCACTGAATATCGTTTGTTTTTCGCACAGTGACTCATTTTGCCGTCATCATTTGTTTCACCTACCAATCTTTGATAATCCCTGATCAGTAAGGGTGCCAGTCAAATTGCTCCAGGTACAAAATGCCCCAGCAAATTTGGTCAAATGCCCCAGATTTTTAGTCAAATTGTCCCAGGTTTGTAATTCTTTACAAAAACATTAATACCATGCAAATAATTGGTATTACAGTGTTGTGTATACAGGAATATTACTTTTGCTCTTAGCAGTTTAGTAATGGAACATTTGTCAGAAATATTACTATATAATATTATATGAAGAATATAAGATTGAAGTTGACAAAAATTATGCATTTATGGCATATATTTCATAATTTTAAATAAATTGGGGCATTTTGTCTATAACTTACCCTTACCCTTACCCTAACCCTAACCCTTACCCAGTCTAAGTAAACTTAGGCTCAGTATTATCCGTTACACTGCTATACAGTATAGCAGTGTTACTTAGGCTTAGTGTTTACTTAGACTGAACCCTTACCCTAACCCAAAGTAAACTCGAGTGCTTTCAAAGATGGCGGAAGGTATCCAGTATTCTTTAGTCTTACCAAATAAACACTTAACCACTCGGAGATGTTTTAAATAAACAACACTGAGACACTCTGAAATGTTTAGGATTAGAACCACTGCAACAACATGTAATGAATTTCTTCTAATCTTACTATTTTCTACAAGTTTGGCCCTTTTGACTTTTCTTTAGCCCCATTGACTTTTTCAATTTTGGCCCTTTTGACCTGTTCCCTCAGTAATTATAGTCGTGTTTGATTTTACCTCAACGGGCGTTAAGTAAACAACGAACGTCAGAATTCGCTCGAATGAATGGATGAATGATTGAAATCCATTGCACGATTCCGACTACATGTATATTATTATCCTGTTTTTGACCCATGAAGATCCGGGTTAGAATGTGCCTTCAGTAACCCATGCTTGTCGTAAGAGGCGACTAACGGGATCGGGTGGTTAGGTTCACTGACTTGGTTGACACATGTCATCGGTTCCCAATTGCGCAGATCGATGCTCATGCTGTTGATCACTGGATTGTCTGGTCCAGACTCGATTATTGACAGACCGCCGCCATATAGCTGGAATATTGCTGAGTGCGGCGTAAAACTAAACTCACTCACTCATTATCCTGTTTTTGGGTCACTGTTGTATTTAAAGCGTTCGCTCGTCACACCGAAGACCCGGGTTTCATTCCCCAAATGGGTACAATGTGTGAAGCCCATTTCTCAAGTCCCCTGTCGTGATATTGCTCGGATATTGCTAAAAACAGAGTAAAACTAAACTCACTCATTCACTCTAAAGACAACAGAAAACTCACAGAACGTCTGAAGAGCACTACTAGGTTTGTAGTGTTACGTGATGTGATGTTTTTAGGGGCGATCCCCGAGCACACGTGTAAACCTAACTTGACTGTTCTGTAGATGTCCCTGCTTGAACAAGACGACATATTTTCTATATTTTACTATTGTGTCAATTATATTCGTTTCCAACCTGTAGCCATATTGAAACATTAAGAACTGGACGAGAACTATGGGCGGGAATTCTACTGGTCAATGAGGACTACAGTTGTTGGAAACGTACTCGTCCTCAGCTAATTTTGAGGTGAAATTGGGCTTAACGTCGTGCTTGAGAATATTTCGCTCATATGACGACGTGCATGCGTGTGTATGACTTAAGCTGGTTTTATAGTGCTAGCCCACTGAGATACCATGCCGCAGTGAAGCATGAATACCCCACTCAGACACATTATACTGACTCCGAGCCGACCAGTCCTTGTTGTACCCATTAATGCCGAGCGCCAGGCAGGGTCCAACAAGTACCATATTTTAACGTCTTTTTGGTAAGACGCCACCTTCCGCTCTCCGGACGGACGCTCTAACCACTACACCACGGAGGCGGTCGGTCTATATAGGAAATGTAGCAATGAAAGAACCATAGCCTCTAATTCTGAGAGAATGGTTGTTGTAACGGGGGGCATATATATGCCACAGTATTAATTCTTTCCAGCTAATTCCTGTTTATTTGGATTTGTCCGGCATCATGAAGCTTCCTTTCAATGATCAGGGTGTGGCGAATTTTACATAAATTAGTAGTGTCTTCAAGACTGTTGATGAGGTGCTCTGAGTGGACACATTTAGCAACGGGGGTCTTGTTCTTTTATTGTAGTGAATATGGATTATCGTTTCTGCAATGTATTCGGATCTTCTGTATGTCCAGATCTCACATCTCGTAAACCTTCGTGGCCATTATGCCTTCCCTCGAGGAACAGGGGATGATATATTTAAATCCACAATGAAACGTAATCTCAAACACACTCATGATTTTGAGAGGACTGAAGAGAACGTTACCTGTGGCCTATAGGATGTCCCTTACTATCTGACAGAGGTGAAGGTCGCATCTATATTGACTGTGTTCGTGAGGAGGCTGCTGGTCATGTGACCGTCGGGGATCATAACCAGGGCATGGGGACACTTTATAATTTAGAATTCCAATTTGAAAACTCATCGTTCTAATGTAAGAATTTTGGTGACTCACTTGCAAAACCGTGCAATATAGAAAGTAGAAACGGACCTTTCCTCCTGTCTTAAACAAGACTTTGGTGTTGGGTATATTACGAGCACTTCTCTGATCATTGAAGTTGCCAGAAATGAGATAAGAGTGATCTCCCCTACCTAAGACAATCCATCTGCATCCAAAGCCATCCATTATATTACAAAAACAAGGATCACTTATGATGTTATATTTCTATGGAAAAAGAAAACAATATTATTTGAAAACACAACCAGCCAAATAGTCAAGTGTAAGGAACCCTGATACTGAACCCTTATGTTCATTTTGAATGTGGTGGTATAGTCTCTGGATGTATTAAAGTACAATTAACATGAGTTGGTTGTATGTGGTCATATACTACTCACACTTTGATAAGGATCACAAAAAATCATAACTTTACTAACTTAGATTGAATGTTTTGCAGCTGTAGCATTTTGAATTAGTTTCTTGCAGTCTATGGCAACTGATAGCATCTAATGAAAGATGTGTTTCAAAAGAAAAATGCATAAACATTTCCTGGCAACATTTTGCACAAATGTTATCCAATGACTAACTATTTGCATCTCTTCACTTACGACTGACTGACTGACTGAGTTTAGTTTTACGCCGCTTTTAGCAATATTCCAGCAACATCACGGCGGGGGACACCTGAAATGGGCTTCACATATTGTACCCATGTGGGGATTCGAACCTTGGTCTTCAGCGTGACGAGCGGACGCTTTAACCACTAGGCTACAATACCGCCCCTCTTCACTTACGAATCAAGTGGTCAACTGCTTTCTCACATGATTTTGGAATTATAAATTTTTAAACATCTCCTTCAAGACCATTGAAAATCTCAGTATATCCAGTGATTGCCTCTGCTCATAGTGATGATGTCACAGTAACTCAATCCTTGTCAGATGGCTAGAGTTACAAGTCATCTGTGACCTATTAATCAGTTCAATGTTCTGATCAGGCAGTTTTTGTGGTCTTGATTCTAACACTCAGTATGCATTTGGCATGGGAATAGTATTTGATGCCAGTTCCACCCCAAAACACTTTGTTAATGTTGATTAAATAAGATACCTTTTTAATTTTCATGTGTCATCACTATTGAAGAAGATACACCACGTTCTACTTGAAGTTCATAAAATATACACCCCACTACAGCTTGTTCAGCTTGACCTGATCAAGTGAATACTAATGTATTGCGTGACCGTGTCACAACTGATTGGGTCTATTATTGTGAAGGGGTGTACCTTTGTCAGCTGATTGTCAACATGTCCGAACAGCCGAGACCAGGTCGCCGTTTGACATCTCAGTGTCAAAATATCGTCAGCAATGTCCTAACTACTGGGACAGAAATATTGCAGTTGAACATGAAATAGAAAAACTGATAACTGAACTGGGTGTAGAGAGTGATAGCGAGAGTGAATCGGATTGTGAAAGTAATTGACGTCTTACTTTGTAAAGTTAGCAAACCAAAATAGATAGCATATGACTGTATAAACAATTCAATTAAAACATGAAATGATTGGTTTTTTTCAGAAGTGTTGTTTTCCGGGACAGGTTCTGTAACGAATCCATGTATGCATGTTTTGCACGAACGCAACATTAATAACATTCTCTGCACCCCTATTTAATGAAGTTTACTCGTCCTGCCGTTTGTGCCATTTGACCTCCCGGGTCATGCATATGTAGAGTAGCTCAGGTCAAGCTGAACAAGCTGTATTTATGTCACTAACAAGATTTTGTATGTGAGAAGAGTGTTCTGTCACTTAAGCACTGCTCCATCCACGTGATGTCTGGGTATACAATGAATGGGCAGAGCACATTGTCCTTGTTTTGGGAAATGAAACATGCCTTCAGTGTGACCAGTCAATCCAAATGTCCTGCCTTGAAAATCAGCATGATTTCCTGAACATTGAACACCAGGACATGGATACAGCATGTTCAGTCCAGTTCACTCTTGTGATGTGCCACAGTACTCATCTGTCATTTCCTTGTTTAAGGGGCTGTGACTGGCCTGATGACAAGTTTGATTTCATCCTCTATATCATCACAATGAGCATAATCTTACTCATTCTTTAAAAATGCTAGGTACTGTCAGGAAATACATAACCAATCTGCCCTTAAAATACAGAGGGCAGTGGGGTAGCCTAGTGGTTAAAGAGTTTGCTTGTCACGCCAAAGACCCATGTTCGATTCCCCACATGTGCGAAGCCCGTTTCTGTTGTCCCCACCCTGATATTACTGAAATATTGCTAAAACAGGCACAAAACCATACTCACTCACTCAAATACAGAAATGACTAAAGTGACTATCTGCATTAAAATCAATAAATATTATTTTTATTGATATTCAAGAGGGATGTTACAAGATCAGGGGTGAATGGAAGGGCTTGCAGACTTTGTTGATGCATATCATCATGTTCCAAATGTGTAGATGATGCTCATGATGCTAGTCACTGGATTGTGTGGTTCAGATACAAACATTTACAGTGAGTGAGTGAGTATGGTTCTACGCCGCTTTTAGCAATATTCCAGCAATATCACGGCGGGGGACACCAGAAATGGCTTCACACATATACCCATGTGGGGAATCGAACCCGGATCTTCGGCATGACGAGCGAACGCTTTAACCACTAGGCTACCCCACCGCCCCAAAACATTTACAGACATCATGCACCTGGTGTATTGCCGAGTGTGGCACTTGACAATGGCAAAACAAAAACAGGAAGCTGGTGTTATTTGATTGACTTTACTTTGATTCTATATATTATACAGTATATTCATGTGAATCCTTAAGGTACATTTTTACAGTAAAAGACAAAGATTTCAAACTATAAATAGCAAGCATAGTTTGCATATATCACAAAGTATGATGTGTTGAGAATTGAGTATGAAAACCAGGGAAAAGTCCTCTCCACAGACGACTCATTTTATACAAATCAACTCCGCTTTACGTAATTTATACAGATTTTCTTTGTGTATACATAACCCATTGTGTAAATGTACAGATTAGCAAATATTTCTCAATAATTCTAGACATGTTCACCAGATGCAAAATAGTCGTAAGTTTACTCACGATGGATAATAATTAATTGCTCAATCAGGAAAACTGCTGATACTATTTCCCACACAACTTCAAAAGGTAACACAAGTAAAGAAAGTCTAATTTCTAAATCCAATCCAAAACACTACCTACTGATACTTGGCAAGAAATTGAAGTGCAAAGTACCTGAATGTCTTTAATATGAATCTCTAATCATAAACAAATGAGCAAATGTTTACAGAAAAATGGAAAACTACCAGAATACAAACAATTCTTCAGAATATTGTGTGCTAAATTGACGCCTTCTTGCATAGCACTGTCATGCTTTCTGTTTACATTCATTATGATTCACCAGTGGTAAGATATTTACTGATTCACCAGTGGTAAGATATTTACTGATTCACCAGTGGTAAGATATTTACTGATTCACCAGTGGTAAGATATTTACTGGAAGGTAACTCTACTATTCCCTGTTATCAACATAATTAGTGTAATCTGTGTAATGAAGGAATATTGAAACAATGATGTGCGTTATTCGATATGGTATTTAAATGGTTATGTAATAAGGTGTTTATAACAAAATACTGTTAACATTTATGGAAACGTGACCATACACATATTTGCCTCTTTTTGCCAGTTCTGAATTCTGACATACCATTGTAAGTCTTGTAGCATTTGAAACAGACTATTGGAATTCTCATAATTAGTTCAAGTGACCATAATTCCTCTTCCAAATCCATAGTTTGAAGGACTTTGTTAATAATATGAAGGTGCGGACACATATCCATGTTTTCGCACAAGATAGAGATATCCGAGTCATGAAACAGATTCTGAAATACAATTTGGACCAATTTCATATTGAGCTTATTAACTTACTCAGTATGGCTTCTGTGAAGAGGGATTTTATATTATGAACATGACATCAATTTCATAAGCTTAAATCATCTCTCCATTAGAACAAATAAGACAATGCAACTAAATGTCAGCAAAATGAGAGATATTGCGGACTCAAAGGAAAAGTAAACAAAATACCTTTGAAGCATCTTAAACTGTTCAGTTTTACTTCACATCAAAATATTTATTCTTAAACTATCCAAGAAAACACATGTGACTTGCTTGCTTGGTAAAGGTTCTTGCATCTGTACTGTAGCAACGACTGCTATCAGAACTCAACTCTGTCTTCATTGATTGTAGAGCTTTGTAAGCACAAACCATATTACCTTCAACCAGTTCAAAACTGACCCTTGAGAAGAGGTTTTTCAGATCTAGCAGATGACTGAACATTCAAATTGAAGTGAATAATGGTCTTCTTCTGTCACAATGTCACTGATTAAACAAAACTGCCTCACTTGCAAAATTTAATTAATGCAAGCAATGACTACTATCATTTTTTGCATTTAATTCACTTTCGCATTAACTTAAAGATTTACAGTAATATTGGGATTGCAACGAACTGGTGTGTATTAATGAAGACAAAGTATTGCAATCGCAGAAGCAATGTCCACCTGTGCTAGGCTCTGACACTACAGGTAAGTTTTGAAATCTTCAAGTACGGTCATACAACATCAAGAGGATGAAGCTGTTAGAAACACCTCAACAGAAGCACTAAAACAACATCCTCCCTCTGAAAATCAAATTTCGTTGAAAGAAAGTTTCAAAGCCAGTGCAAAGTTCTGTACAAAGCAAGCTCTTTAGAAAACCCTGAAACATAAATATTGTGAAGGAATCACACTTCAGATACTAGATCAATATATAACATCTGTACAGGTACGACAGAACGTAAAATTACAAACAGCATCATTAACGTCCACTCTCAGAAATAATTGCACAATCTCCCAAATGGTTTCTAAAGGAAGGGATGGTGCAAATTCTACAACCAACAGATATTACACAAGGAGGAATTTGAAAATGAAATCTTAAAGATGATATTTAAAAAAAATGCATATTTAATATTCAGAAGACACAGGGCTGGTGATAAACATCTTCAGCAAACAACTTCTGAAGAAATGTAACGTGTTATATTGGGACACTTTTTCTAATGTTACATTTAACCATTCTCTTATTCCATTGTGTCTATTCTGAAGAAATGATTTTCAAAATGATATCTAAAACTTGAAATAACTGACATTCATTAATCCAAATAACCTAACAGTTAGAACAAAATATGTCCTCTCCAAGATCTATTTTCTTTGGGTCTGTTTTCAACTTGCACCATACACAATATATACGAGCTCTGTTTGTAATTTTATGCCTGAAGGGCAAGTTGTGTTGACTGCATGTATCTGTGCACAGTCACATAACATAAGGGTAAAGACACAAACTCTCTAACACCACTCTCCTTATGGGGCTCTGCCAAATGTCAATAAATGATATATTTTTTTGTATTTCTTCAAACTAATTTATGTCACAGCTAAATGTTTCATGTATGAATATTGTCTCCTCTGCAGGCGGCCATTTGCAACATCTTACGCCTTGGTCAAGTAAACTTTAATTTGGTCGGGTGTGATAATTTCAAAAATTTGATCTTGATAAAATAAGAAGTTGGGGTCTGAGGTTAACATATCTGCTAGTTTTCCATGTTGGAAAATAATAAACCTTTTGGGATCGACAGTTAATAAATAATGAGTATTAGCTCTAATCATCAAATTTATTCTCTGAAAATGAGCGATATCTCCATTGCACAAAACTGATTTGGAGTCAATGCATTCAACTTGATTCATCAAGAAGCATAGGACTCGAACACCAAAACAATCTTTATGAGAATGTCAATTAATGTTTAATCAAATTTTTCCTTCATAAAACTTTGAACTGATCAATATTCTACTCAGTGATTCCACAGTGCTAGTGGCTTTGAAAGTTTCTTGAAAAATAAAAAAAAGTGTGACAGATTTTGTCAAAAGATTCGCAGAAGAGTGGCACGTGGGAGGGAGTTGTGTGGGAGAGTTAGTACGCAGTGCGTCTCAACACTTTAACAAGTGAAGAAACTAAAGTATTATTCCACATTGAATCATCACAATATGTTGATTTGTTCACGTCTGTTCAAATATGTACCACCAACAAACCATTTATCCACATAAAACTGCTCTTAAACCCTGTAATTATCAGCTGTGAGAATAAGCTCACAATATGTCTGCTGAAGGTCAGTAAGGTGAACATAAAAAAACCCATGATCTTCACTGTCTCCTTGTCAAAGTCACACTCTCTGAATCATTACTTCAATATTTACAAAATGTCTGTGACATTGACAAACTACCTTTTGAAACAAAAGTTCAAAACTACCGCGAAATATCTGTGTCCTGCACCAAGAGGGTATGGTGATCATTTTCTGTTTCTGAGTAAAATATTTGGTTCTACAAACAGTCTTCAAGTCTACCTTATATACATACTAATTTATGGTGTATAATAAATGTTATGAATATTTATTCAATAGCATTGTAGGACATCTGCAAGCCTTACATGTGCTTAGTCCTTGTAACCATGGAGATGAAAAGATATACAGATTGCAACAATGTTCCTCCTGGTTTGTGGGAATCAATGACGGAACACTGTACAACATACTGCCATGTTTATCATCAACAGCCCTAAATCAGGACTCTCACACATCCCATGGATTTCATCCACATGGTAACTCTTGTATCATCTCTCGTGTGATTTGCAGAAAGTATCCAGATGTCTGCCAAATATCAAAAGCTCGTAGATATGGACTGTGAAGTTAGTTTGTCCAAATAATAAATCTTAGGTTGTTGTGAAATTACAATTCTACAATTGAGTTTTATACTGAAAACATATAGTGCACCATATGCGAATATTTAACCCTCTTGCACATGGTAACATTGGGAGCACTCATTGTTAGCAGTGAAAGTGTTAACAGTGTTTCGCGCACCAGGAGATGAATTTTCGACTCAAGTCTATAGATCTTGGGGATGCACCAATGTCCAGCACTTGAATCATACAGATCAGCATGAAGACCCTTGGTCTGGTGCAGTCTGAACTGTCTCCATGCACTGATGCGGCTGCACCAGTATTGCATCACCATGTGTCTGGATCAGATCTGCAAAGAGTCCGGCCATCAGTGGCATGCTGAAGTCTAACTGCAGCATCTAGCAACTCCACGCACTGTATAGTCACTTCAGCACTGTCACATCACAAGGTAAGTACAAACTCAGCTAATCCAACAGGAAATATTTCAGCTAAACAATCTGTAGAACAGAAGGCCCTGCAGAGTGACCTCCCTTGAATCCCCCCCCGATGTGGCTGTGCTGCCGGTATATGCTGTCCCATCACAGAATGTAAGTAAGTGTGACCAATGTCCCTATGGTCGGAACTATATCACTGTGGAGTGTCTTGATCGCATTGTGTCCTCTCGGCTGCGAACACTACCCTGTGAGGAGCGTGAATATGGCGGATGGCCATCTACATCTCCTGTTACGTATGCACCATAAAACTTTTCCTGTTCATCTCGCTGTCTGGAAAACTCTTCCTCAAGTTTCTGCAATGGAAATATTTCTGCAGTGAGTATTTTGAAAGGTACATGTTACAGGAAACAACTAGATTTGGTATGTAAATTGAACCAACCAACCTCGAATAATAGCACATTCTCTTGAACAAACATATTCAATTTGTCAATTTTGGTACAAGTACTAGTTAAAAAAACCAACATATTAAGGGCAACCCGATACTATCATGCCATGACAGATTAACTTCAGTAATGGTTTAACCACTAGGCTACCTCACCGCCCCTGCTCATAATGACTGACTGACTGAGTGAGTTTGGTTTTATGCCGCTTTTAGCAATATTCCAGCAACATCACGGCAGGGAACACCAGAAATGGGCTTCACACATTGTACCCATGTGGGGATTCGAACCCGGGTCTTCGGCCGGTTGAGCCAATGCTTTAACCACTAGGCTACCCCACCGCCCCTGCTCATAATGAAGAGTGAGATTACCTGTTTTCTTGGTACGAGCAGTGCTTTCCATTCTTTGAGCTCTAACTCATACTGTTTTTCCACCTCCTTGATCTTCAATGTCTCCTGCTCCATCAACATCTTCCTCTTCTCAGCCTACATCATCAACAACAATGCATTAACAATCTTAATGTTCAAGGAATGTATTTTATTGACAAACCTTACACAATTGTAGTTTCTATTCATCCTAGCCATATAAATTTATACAAAAAGAGAAACTGAGTGATCCCACCTCATTTTTCTGATTCCCTAGACATGTCATAGAACATTGAAGAGTTATCTCCCTTCTACAGGCATATCTGTTATCAAATAAGTTTGTTGTTTAACACACAGCAATATTCCACCTATATGATGGCGGTCCGTAAATAATTGAGTCAGGACCAGACAAACCAATGATCCACATTGAGCATTGACCTATTGGGATACGATGACATGTGTCAACCAAGTCAGAGCCTGACCACCCGATCCCGTTAGTTGCCTCTTACAACAAGCATGGGTTACTGAAGACCAATCCTACCCCAGATCTTCATGGATAGACATTATATGTAATGTGACAGCGAAGCTGTAGTTGCATGTACCTGTAGCTGCTCCAGTTCCTTGAGGGCAGTCTCATTGCGGAACACAAGGTCATCCCACTGCTTCTTGTGCTTCGACTCCTGCCTTTGTTGTTCGGCCTTCATTCTCTTCTTCTCATTCTCCTCAAACTGAAAATACACACAGCATCATGTAAGACCTCATGATTGTACAGTCAACTTGCTCAAGTAAAGCTAAAACCATGGTAACCAAGGTCTACTAAAAGAGATTCAAGAGTTCCTCAAGACTGCATGAACAACTTGAAATGTCATGAAACACTAAAACAAACGATATTATTCCTAAGTAAGAGAATTTTATTTTAACTTCTTTCTTATATGGAACACAATGTTTTGGAGTATATGCTTACTCCTTCATCAGGTGAGGATTATATACTCTGAATACATACTCTGTAAGGTTGTGTTCCTCATAATATAGAAGTTGACATCCCTAAAATTATCTTGAAATTCCTATTAATCATACATGGTTTTAAACCACTGAATGAGTAATGTTTTCTTGCCAATACCATACAAGATAATGAGCTCCTTAAACATTGTGTTAAACCAGATGGTGCTATACCGATAGAATACTTCATAGATGGTGTCAATAGTTTTCTGTAACCTGCAATAATATCTCACCTGTTTAATCTTCATCTTGTCATCATCAGGTGTAGATATTGTGCTAAGCCTGAGGCTCTGTTTAAACATCTGTGCTCTTGTCTTTGCCTCATTCTTGAGGATTTTGGGTAGGCGGCGCCTCTCCAGAGCATGGCGCTCCTTCATTTCCTCTTCCTTCGCTGAGTTGTAGCGTTTCATCTGGTCAATTTCCTGCCACAGATAGTTATACCATGTCACTTTCAACACATAGTAATGCTTATCTTCAAAATCCATGCCTACATACACCAACAATTCGACAACCTTCTGAACATATCTATTAGGTCAATGCCTACACCCCTTCTGAACCTATCCATCAAGTTCATGCCTACACCCCTTCTGAACCTATCCATCAGGTCAATGCCTACACCCCTTCTGAACCTATCAATCTGAACCTATCCATCAGGTCAATGTACAATGCAATGCCTACACCCCTTCTGAACCTATCCATCAGGTCAATGCCTACACCCCTTCTGAACCTATCCATCAGGTCAATGCCTACACCCCTTCTGAACCTATCCATCAGGTCAATGCCTACACCACGTCTGAACCCATCCATCAGGTCAATGCCTACACCACTTCTGAACCCATCCATCAGGTCAATGCCTACACTACTTCTGAACCCATCTGTCAGGTCAATGCCTACACCCCTTCTGAACCCATCCATCAGGTCCATGCCTACACCACTTCTGAACCTATCTATCAGGTCAATGCCTACATCCCTTATGAACCTATCCATAAAGTTCATGCCTACACTCCTTCTGAACCTATCCACCAGGTTCATGCCTACACCCCTTCTGAACCTATCCATCAGGTCCATGCCTACAACTCTTCTGAACCTATCCATCAGGTACATGACTACATCCTTTCAATACCTATTGATCAGGTCAATGCCTACACCCCTTCTGAACATGTCCATCAGGTCAATGCCTACAACCCTTCTGAACCTATCCACCAGGTTCATGCCTACACCCCTTTTGAACCAATCCATCAGGCCCATGCCTACACCCTTCAGAACTTACCAATCAGGTCCATGCCTACACTCCTCCCGAACCTACCCATCAGGTCTATGCCTACACCCCATCCATGCCTACACACCTTCCGAACCTATCCATCAAGTCCACGGCTACATACCCTCTGATCTTACCAGTGAGGCACCTGCCAACAAACCCTCTGGAACCTTCAATGAGTTCCCTGCGTACACACTCTCTGAACCTATTTGTATGTTCCCACCACTTGAACCTCTCTGTGACTTCCTTGCCCTCGTACCTTCTGATGCCTGGTGAGCATTTGATGCCGCTTCAGGAAGAACATCTCCTTCAGTTGACCCTTGGCCAGCTGGTGCTTCTCGTGGAGCTGCTCCTTTTCCATCTCCCAGATGGCCGCCTCTCGAGCTGGAACAACCACAACAACATGCAAACAACATACACATATTCAACACAACCTGATCATGCTATTTGGTATGTTGTTTAATAATTCAGTCAACAGTATTCCAGTTTTATGATGGTGGTCAATAAATAATGAAATCTTGACCAGACAATCCTGAGATTGATATTGTGAGCACTTAATCTATCAACCGAAGAACTGAGCCTGACCACTTGATCTATTTGGTTGCCTCTTTTAAATGACCAGCACAGATTGTATGGGACATACTCTTATGTGGAATCTCCATCAGATACAATACACAGAGATATGACAATAGTGAAGAGATGACCAATGATATTAATACATGTATCAGCCAAGCCAACGAGCCATGGCCTCGTTCCACAAAGTGATCGTAGTGCAACGACAGTCGTAAGTATACGTTAAAGGATGGAAGTTATGATCATCTTAGGGTTACCGTTCGCTTTGTGAAACGGGTCCCTGACCACCAGTTCCCCTTATCATGCTAATTGATGGACATGTCTTCATATGATTCCCAAGATCCACACAAATGTGATATTCACAGGCTGTCCCTATTGATTGTGGTGCTTTTGCTCTACTTAAGCAGATTATACAGAAGGCCAAGTGTTGTATTGACTAGTCATTACTCAAGTCAATAAATCTTTAAGCCAACATCTAAATGGCCAAATTAAGTGTCCCGAATGAAGTCATCATGTAGAGGCCTGAGTACCTGATTCAGATATTTCCCCCAAAATAAACACAATGTTGTAAATATATTTTTGAAGTTGACATCTAAATTGATGGGGCTCCAGTCAGGACTGCCTCAAGTGTATTTCAAGTGTATTTATCCAGGGTATCACTGGACACAAAACGACTTTAGGAAATTAACATTTCTTGAATTTCTTTAATTGTCAAAAGAACATTCTACAGTCTTGTTTGAAAATATACTCAAATTGGCATTTAGGAAACAATCTATTGATGTCCTCAACTATCTGCCTTTACAGGAGTGTGTAGGCTTATTGCTACAAAAGTAGAATCCTTTGTGTCTCAGCTTAACATGGGAGTAAAGCTAAATGTGGTATAGGTCACATCTGTACACTGATTTGATGCCAACTTGATGTGTGGTTGGTTGGTTGATTGGTGGGTTGGTTGTTTAATGCCACACTCAGCAGTATTCCAGCTATATGGCAGCATTCTGTAAATAATCGAGTCTGGACCAGACAATCCAGTGATCAAATGCAATCCTGAGCACCGGATCCCGTTAGCCGTCCCTTACAACAAGGGTTACTGAAGACGAACTCAAATCCGACCTTCACTGGTCAACTTGATGTATGAGCCACAAAGTGACATGATTGATGCTGACAGACCACGATTCAGAATCAGGGCTGTATTTCTTCTGTTAACTGAAGTGTCTTTTCCAGTGTCTAGGACTTCAACCAGTGATCCCCTTGATTGGATCTGCTCTGGGTCCACACAGGATTACCCTCCCCTCTCAACTCTTATATCCATACAAGATTCAAGCTCTATACCCACTCTACCCAGGGTCCATACAAGGCATCCCCCACAATCTCTTTCCCCAAATCTATATAAGTGCCCATCTGTACCTACCTCTGAGTAGCTGCTGCTTCTGCTGAAGGAACTGGCTCTCCAAGAGAGCTATCTTCTGTCTGTGTTGGTCTCCCAACTGTTTCATGTGCTTCTCCATCCTCTCCTGTTGGTTCTCCAAGAACAACCGCTCCTTTAACATCATCATCATCATCATCATCATCATCATCATCATCATCAACCATATTGCTATCAACATCATCAAAAGAAGGCAACCTTACAGGACAAACAACTAGGTAAGACATCAACATCATTATCAGCCATTAGCAATTTCATTTGACATCATACTGAAATATTGAACATAACTGATAGCTTTCTCTTACAGGTACTCATGCTCATCCAAAAGACTCAGTATGTTTCTTTATTTACTGATCAAGTCCTTCTATCCATGTCAAGTACAATTTAAAACCAGCTTAAGAATTTCTTACACACCTTGTCTGTAAGTTCTATTTCCTTGGCTTCCTTGCGTTTGTGCACAGCTTCCTTCCTGCCATCTCGGGGCAGGAGGTCCATCTCCTGCTTGAGCAGCTTCAGCTCTTGCTTCTGTTGTTCCTTGAATATCTTCACCTCTTTCTCCTGCAATCACCAGCACTCACTGAATACCTGAATCTTACACTCCTTCACACTCAAATTCATCAAGTGGTGTTGGGTCTGCATATCTTATCAATAAATGACAATAACTGAAGGGAACGACTTGTAATCAACAATCACTGAATACCAGAACCTTACACTTGGCTTCCACACCCCATCAACATACAAATTTTAAAAATTTAACATTCTGATTCTAAAATTATTCCTCCAACAAAGACTAGTCCAAGTACTCTTCAAAACTGTAAGTTTTCTGTATGTGTATACACAAGAAATACCTCATTGATATTTATCATTTTAATGCTAAATATGAAGTAGACTTATCTGCCAAATCATTATGAATGAATTTCATGTCATTCTCCATCAGAACCATGGTAAACTTAATAAACGTAAGCGCTCCTCTGGCATGGAATTATTTATGTTGTATTTAAAATTAAAAATGTGCATCAATACAATACTGACATTAGGAATTTATCAAGAAATGAGACCGTGATAGCAATGATATCCCTTACTATCATACTACTAGACTTAAGATTCTGATTAAGTGAGTGAATGAGCAAGTGAGCGATGAAGCATGGTTTGTCCTGGTTTTGTGCCATTTGAGCAGTATTTGAGCTGTACAGTGAAGGACACCAGGAAAACACTTCACACAATGTACACTATCATATTACTTTACCAATGTCTTGCTTCACAGGCCATGGGCATCACTTTTACTTCACAGTATGTCATAATCTAGTTTTAACAAGGCATGAGTGAGTGAGTTGAGTTTTATTCTGCCTTTAGCAATATTCCAGCAAGATCATGCCGGGGGACACCAGAAATCAATCAGGCAAGCTTGACCATCTGATCTATTCTAGTCGAGTCAGATAGGTTACTGAAGCCGGTCTGTCCCAGAGTTGGAGTTAAGATAAATGGCTAGGTTGTTGTACCTGTTCGGTCTTGATCTTGCGGGCAGCATTCTTCATGTCATTGGACTGGGCCAGCTCTGCCTTCTCCACTTGCTGCTTCTGCTGTTTGGTCAGCGTTTCCATGTCCTGGTCAAAGTTTTTGACCAGATTCTGAACGAAAAAAAATTAAAAAATTATAACTGCTAATTTGTGATATCAACAGTAGAGAAAGTGAATGATGTTTAATAGCCATTTTGTGTAGAATTGGCTTATGTTTGTCATGTTTCGGTAAGTTGATAATTAATATTGTCACATGTTTCACTAAGTAAAACATGGACATTGTTATATGTTTCAGCAAGTAAGAAGCTAATATTGTCATGTGTTTCAGGAAGTAACACTAGCTTTGTCAGCAAGTAAAATCTGTCATATGCTGCAACAAATAAAACACCAAAATTGTCATATGTTTCAGCAAGTAGCACTTAACACTGTCATATGTTTCAAGGAGAAAACAATGACATTGTCATATGTTATTATTGTCACATTTCAGCAAGTAACAAGTTCCAGCAATAAAATATTGTCATACTTTCCAGCAAATAAATCACTTATGATCTAACAGTACCATTTACCATACAGCACCCCCCTTCCCTAACCACTGCCTATATGCATCTCCTCATGTATAATTAATGTACAATTTGTCTGCAATACCCACTGTCCCACCAATCCCTTCTACAGACAGCTATTGTATTCTACAATGCTCTCAGTGTTCAGAGCAGAACAGGCCATAATCTAGCATGAGACAAGTAATCCTCCATGCTACCATTACCCCCGATATTTATTACTTTCAAAAAGTGAACTTCACAGTTGGGGAATTGAAAAAATGTAAATTCTGCTGATGCAGAAATATCCCCATGGATATTAGCAGCTTGCATTCTGGGGCAGCTCAGACAGATCGGTCTACTGGTCTGAAGGGACTCCTGCTAAAAGCTATCAGTCACCATGGTAATCAATAGTTTGACCTTATAAGGAAGTTTTAGTGTCTCTAGAGGTGGAATAAGGTCCGGCAGTGCAGTACTGAGGCATATTGCCATGGAGAAGTGCCAGCCAGCAGGGCCGGTTGTGTAACAAGGTGCAATATTGTCTGTTATCCCATACCGAAGTCACCACAAAGTTATTCCTTCATGAATACATGAATCAGATAAGAAAATGACAACATAGGAAATACAATATTTTTTTGTGCAACAAATCAAAGTTTTTATGAATATGGTTTCCATAACTCAGCGTTTTTTCAGCATTTTTATGCTTTCAAATATGTAACTGAGCAATCAAACTTGGCATTCTTCAGGGAACATTTCACATAAATAGCCTTTTGTCCAGGGGATACCACATAGGCTATGGTGACATGAAGCAACCTGTTGCAAAACATTAAACTGGCGGGGATGTATTGGTTACAAGATCAATGTGAACATATGTTATGTTAATGTCCCGATGCAGTATTTATTTATACAACTCTAGTTTCTACAGCTAAGCTGTGAGGATGGCTAGGTTGTTTGTGAAAGTCAATCAAGTTTGTAGGACATAAACACCTAGACACAGAAACCTAGAGCCAACTGCCAAGTCCCTAAATGAAAGGAGATAATGTCGTTCATGTTTAAAATAATCAGTGTATGATGGATGGATGGGTACTTCTTGAACATATTCTTTTTTGTTGTTTTTGTATACATGTGTTACTTCAAATTTGGAGGGGCGGTGGGGTAGCCTAATGGTTAAAGCGTTGGCTCGTCACGCCGAAGACCCGGGTTCGAATCCCCACATGGGTACAATGTGTGAAGCCCATTTCTGGTATTCCCCCGCCATGATGTTGCTGGAATATTGCTAAAAGAGGCGTAAAACCAAACTCAGTCAGTCAGTCAGTCAAATTTGGAAGCAGTAGAAGAGCACAGGGTGAAAGATGCATATGCTAATCATTGTCCTAAAGACCCTCGGGCACTGAAAATCTTAGAGAGAGTGTTGAGGCAGTTTCAGCAATTTTCAATGGATATGAAGCCCAAACTGGCTTTCAACCCTTCACAAATGTCTCTCTAACAACCATGCTACCCAAAAGTCCCAAACAGTTATAGACATATGGCAGTGAAGAAGGCTTGTGTTGCACATTCAAAGATATTCATTGGGTGATAACAGTTTAAATACTGGAGTTCAGGCAAGTCAACAGCTTGGGGTTTTGTATTTGTAATGGTTGCTGCTTCTGTGGACATCACTAAAGAATAGTTCCACACCACTTTGGGCCACATTCCAGCATTATCATAGCAGGGTACTCCAGAAATGGACTTCACACATTGTACCCATGTAGGGAATCGAACTTGTTTCTTTGGCGTGACAAGCAAAGGCTTTAACCACCGCCCAGACATCCCTGGAAACTCTGGCTTTGCCCAGTATGAATCAGAAGACTTACTTGCATGTCAGCCTCAAACTTCTTCTCCTGAGCATCTCTGGCGACATGGGCCTTGTACATGAGGTCCTGGTACTGCTTGTTCTCCTGCTTCTGAAGCAGCTTCAGCTCACGCAGGTCCTGCTTCCTGGAACACAGAAGCGGAACACATCAGGTGCAAGATCTACCACCATGTCAACAGTATTACTTACACATGTTGTTTGTCCTCTCATAATGTTCACTGAAACTTCATTGGTTATGTAAGTATTCGTATAATACTTGTTCGCTGATAATTTGTTGGCTAAGATCAATATTGCTTTTAATGTTATCTGTGTGACTTTGAGGTATGTTCTCTGATCATTGATTAAGATCAGTGTTGCTATTTGTAAAATGTTGGGTTTTTGGGTCTTCTCCAAACGTTCACGCATCAAGAGGTAGTTACGGTCAGTTTTGATTCCACTTGTTATTTGTTTGTCTCCTTGAAATATTCACTGATTACATGTACTGGTAGAAAATAGATTCAGTGTATGTGTTGGTCAGTTTGATTTTTGTATCATTCAAGATGATGTTTTCAGACCTTTACAGGAACTCCTTGCAGTTTCATAAAATGAATAAATGGAATTTAGTGGAGGAATACTGATGATAGCTAAAGCATCAAACATTTATGATTTATGGGTTCTTGATATTTCACCTATATGAAGGTAGTCTGTAAGTGGTGAGTGAGTGAGTTTACTTTTACGCCACACTCAGCAATATTCCAGCTATATGGCGGCAGTCTGTAAATAATGGAGTCTGGACCAGACAATCCACTGATCAACAGTACAAAGACTGAACCATACAATCCAGGGTTGACACACTGAAGATCAATCAGCACAAAAGGGATACAATACCTAGCATTAACTACGTCAGTGAGTCTGACCACCTGATCAAAGTGGTATCCTACAACAAGCATGGGTTGATGTATTCTAATCCAGTAAGTCAAGGAAAAGATGTGCATTGTGATTTGATACAGAGGCCTTCTCGAGATGCTGTTTAAGAAGAAACTCTGATCAATATTCTTCAGATACAGAACAATTCCCGTCCACACAATATGTTGCATATCATTGTGACACTTTCCTCAATATATCTTGCTCCTAGTACCAACAAAACTAAAATATTCATTACCTTGCAGCCATACAATTCCGAAGAGAGTTTCTGTCTGTAAGTTGAAACACTGTGCATTTGAATCCCTAACCTGGTTAGAGGTTCTTTTTAACAGTTGGCACACCAAAAACAGCCAGTGTCTAAAATTATGCATTAAGTCATTTTTCCAAGAATTAATGTCGATAATTAAGTTTAATCCATTTGGGAGTCCACAGATTCAAATACTATTGGAACCAAACTTAAAGAATCCTGAACCCCTTAATTTGTTTTCACTTGATTCACTTGTGTGAATATCTCTGTCAAGAGTTCGAAATCAAGCATGTCAAAGGGTGCTCCTTACACTAATATATGCTTGAGATACAAGGGTACTTAGATTCTAACAGCAAAGGCAAAAATCTCAGACACCATATCATTTCCAACACTGCCAGTCCATACATTGAAGTAATGAGATGTACCCCGTCTATACATAGTACTGACATGATACATTATTATACCAACATTTGTATAGCCCCAATATCCAGCTCAGCTGCTCAAAGGCGCTTTTGATTTTTGCTTGATCGTCGGATGACAAACTTAACTCACTGAGGATCATACAACTCTTGCAGCCACTAGGTGCACCAAGTTAAAGTTAATACAGTGTGTGTGTGTGTGTGCGTGTGCGTAGGGTAGGGTAGCCTTGTGGTTAAAGCATTCACTTTTCACACCGAATGCCCTGGTTCAATTCCCCACATAGGAACAATGTGTGAAGCCAATTTCTGGTGTTCCCCGCCATGATATTGCTAGAATATTGCTAAAAGCAGCATAAAACAAAATTCACTCACTCACTCTATACATAGTACTGATGCGATGTACCCAGTAAATATAAAGTACTGATGTAATGTATCTTGCTATACATAGTACCGGCGTGATGTATCTATCTATACATAGTACTGACTTGGCGTACCTCTCTATATATAGTACTGATGTGATGTACCCAGTAAATATAAAGTACTGATGTAATGTATCTCTCTATACATAGTACCGACATGATGTATCTCTCTATACATAGTACCGACGTGATGTATCTATCTATACATAGTACCGACGTGATGTATCTATCTATACATAGTACCGACATGACGATCTATCTATCTATACATAGTACTGACTTGGCGTACCTCTCTATATATAGCACTGATGTGATGGATTCATATACGTGTGTCTATACATAGTGCTGGACACTTCAGGCCTTGCTGTCATTCATCATCAGTCTTTGAGGAGGGAATGACATGCGTTCGGAAATGGCTTCATTAGTGGCCAGGGGTTTTGTCAGATCAATACTAAAGGGTTGCCTTCCTATGTTGCCTCTTTATGGTACCAGTTTGGTATGGGTGACATAAAGTGCAATTCTACAGATACAGAATACGGCACTCATTCACTCGGTTCTATACAAACAGGAACGAGTGCCAGGATGTGCAGTGTGAAGATACTTCTGGTCCTTAGTTCATGTTCTAGAGTTACTCTAGTTGCCAACAAGAACAAGAGTGAGTGAGTGAGTTCAGTTTTACTCCGCTTTTAGCAATATTCCAGCAATATCACGGCAGGGGACACCAGAAATGGGCTTCACACATTGTACCCATGTGGGGAATCGAACCCGGGTCTTTGGTGTGACGAGCGAACGCTTTAACCACTAAGCTACCCCACCGCCCCCTTTAGAACAAGAGAGGTCCAGATACAATTCAATTTAATAATGCTACTTATCAATCATCACCTCGGACGCAATAGAAAAAAGCCAACTGAAGAGATGGTCACTCACTTGTTACAAAAAATATGTTGAACATGGGAAATATATTGAACCATTATATGATAAGATGTAATCCTTCAAACTGAAGACATGCAATATCATCCTGTTCCTTTGTTAATACTGTTTCGTTGATGGAAGAACATAGAGAAAGTCTGATGTGACTAAAAGTAGATTTCCACAAGTAACCTTTCCCTGCCAAAACAAAACCCTTTGTGTCCAAAACAAAATAAATATTTGACTCACTCAAGTTCAGTGTAATGTCTTGCTGCTGGACATTTAAATGCAATACCATGAAAGGTAGAATAACACTAAAATTCAGATTGTTTGTTGTTTAAAGCCACACTCAGGAATATTTAAGCTACATAATGACTGTAAATAATTGAGTCCGGATGATACAATGAAGGGACTGGCATCAAGAGCATCGATCCATGCAACAATGGGATACAATGAAATACATTCGCTGGGCCCTCAAACCTGAGCACATTATCCTCTGTATCGCTTCTTAAGACAAGCCTTGGTTACTGAAGGCCAGTTCTAACCAAGATCTTTGCAGAATTACAAGCAGAAAACCACAAAAGACCCATCTACACCAGAAAACCATAATCAGATTCTGATGGTAAGTGCTTGCTACATCTTTGACATATAATCACAGCTCACGAAAGTTGATTATTATTTTGTAAGGTACCAAGGTTGAGTCAAGCAAAAATCAATACCATCATTAAACACAGCTCCAGTTTCAGGTGAAATACAGAGACAATGGTGTAGAATTACTCCAACTAAGACACATAATGAGTTTACCTTACATCCCATTAGCAGTGCTACCAACAACAGACAATCCAGCATCATATTCTCCACACATGATACAAACTCTTCATACAGTTTTGAAAGGTCAGTGCCAGTATTTATGAGAACTCCTTCAACATGATGATGCTACCTGTGATCACAATAACTAACCACCGACACCATACAGCTACACAGTGCAACTACAGAGGTACAACGCTCTGATTGAAGGTCATTCATCTATCTTGTGACAAGAAGCCAAAGCAAGGAGATCATGACCTAGGTGGTAATCTCCTGCTGTGTGGATATCAAGTCTTCAGGTTGACAGGTGCTTGTCATGGTTCACACCCAAATAGAAACAAAGGTAATACCAGTCTCACAACCAAGCATCACTGATGATACATCCGGTTCATTACTACCACATTGTAATTCAGACTGTGGATGTTACCAAGGTAACTGTCCAGATGGTTCTACGTCTACAATGGACACAGAATTGGGAGAGAAATATTAGCTAGAAATAACCCAAAACTAGAATAATATTTATTGTATTGATATGATCCAAACTTCTGGGATTGCAAATTGACAACTCTTTCTAAAAAACTGAACTGGAGCATACTCATATTCTTTCAACAAAATGTCATCATTGCCTATAAAGTTAGTTGCCTGATTATCAAATTTCATAATAAACACAATTGAGTGCATTTTCCAGACTCAACACACTCAAGTACATAAATGTTAAAATCTTTATTCAGCTGCAGCCTCCATTTCTTGTTTCGTCTGTTCTTTACCCTACATATTGCCAAGGTTTAAGAAAATCAACAAACACAACAAAATATCACAAGAACAAACTACCACACCTTCAAAATAATATCCTGAATTCTCAGGCTTATCAACAAACATGTCAATTTTCATAGTAAATTATCTAAAATATGCCCTGACCATACATTTAATTTTTCCCTCCTGCAACGTGGAACAGTAGCTTAGGAAATCTAACAGACAAAAAGAAGAATTTCTCTGGCCTCAATTTGAAAGCAGTTACCTGTGGTAAGAAATTCAGAATCTGATGACCTCAATATAAAGGAGTGAAAAAATAAATGATGAAAACATACTTGCATGTAACATAGTATCTGGCCATATAATACACTGACTTGTAAGGCAGAGATGACAGGGGTAGCCAACCTAACTGTCCTTGTGGCAACAGTGAGTGAGTGAGTGAGTGAGTTTAGATTTACGCCACACTCAGCAATATTCCAGCTGTATGGCGGTGGTCTGTAAATAATCCAGTCTGGACCAGACAAACTAGTGATCAACAGCATGAGCATGCTGCATCGATCTGCACAACTGGGAACCGATGACATGTGTCAACCAAGCCAGCGAGCCTGACCACCTGATCCCATTAGTCACCTCTTACTGTGGCAACAGATTCAGACAGCATTTTGAAG